ACTGCTGTGCGAAAGATGAGGTTATTTGGATGAGGATTCAAAATATTGTTGTTAGTGAAAGTGGGAGGTTGGTGGTGGCGGTGAGGCATTTTTATTGTTTCGCATGGGGGGGTGTTTCGGAAGTGGGTACGTTGACTTATCCCAAACCTTTCCACGCCTCCTGCGTCGATGATGGAGCAGGTGAGTCCCTTTGAGCACGGGTCAGAGTTCTTGGCACATTTGGTCAAAGTGTAACCGTTGAAAGACTGGTCCATGGGTTTCATGTACACCTCGCCCCAATAGTTATCGCGGAAGCTTTGAGATCTTCCCCCAGCGTAGTCCTGACCGCGGATGATCTGATACTCGTTGCCGGTTGTCGTTTTGAAGGTCTTGCTGTTAGTCCCGACTGTCGAGCAGGAAAAGGCATTGGGTCTTCTTGCCGGTTCAAACCCAATCAACGGGGTTCAGGGTGTTGAGGGTATCCTTCGTCCAGCAGTTTCTGCCCTGAGGGCCGTAAGAAACGTCGACGCATCGGTCGTCAGCGTTGCATGCTTTCATGCACTCCTCAAAGGTGTCATACTGAGCAGCTCCAACGTCCCCGCCCCCATAATCCACACCGCAGAGGATCTGAAATGTGCTCTTGGTCGCTTTGTACGGGGTGCCGTCAGCAGCGTTGCCAACACATGTGACCTGCAACGTCGGCTTCTCCTTGACAACCTTTTTTGCAGTCCAAATGGCTTCCACGGGGTTGGGTGTGATGAGTAGGTCCTTGGTCCAGCACGTTTTCCCAATGTGGTTTTTCGAGACATCCACGCATCGGGGATCATTATCGCAAGCCTTGATGCAGTCCTCGAAGCTGGCGACCTGGAGGGCGGCGATATCGGCATCAGCATAGTCCACGCTACACACAATCTCGAAGTTGCCGTTGGCACCGGCGTGGTTCGCACCATTGGAGGCACTACCGGCGCAAATGACCCCTGAAGCCTTGAATGTCTTGCGTGCAGAGTTCACCCATGCGAGGGCTGTGGCGGGCGTCTGCATGTCTTTCAGGTAGCATTTCTGCTGGTCGTAGACGTAGGCTACGGCAATACAGGCTTGTTCGGCATCGCAGGCCTTGACGCAGGCCTCGAATGTCGGCAAGTTGATACTCTTTTAGTCGCCGCCGCCATAATCACATCTGCAGAGGACTTCAAAGGTGCCTCTCTCACCGGTGCGGGTCGACTTGTGAGTCGCCGGCTTGGTGCAGCCGAGGTTGGTGGAAAGGGCCTGTCGTCGAGTGGTCGAAGCCGTAGTGACCGAAGCGAGAGAAAGAGTGACTACCTAGTCACGAGCCTGACTGTCTTGAACAAGCTAAGCATGGTGACGGAAGGAGAGAATGAAGGACTGGCAAGGAGCGACAGAGCACCGCCAAAACGGAGTACGAGCTTCCTCGTGACGATAGAGAACCAGAGACGGAGGGAAGGGACAGAACGTTAGACATGGGTGCCTGCTGGTCACCGAGTTATCTAGATAACTCTTCATGTGCTTACTGTGAAATGGATTTCAGGGTCCTCGGATTTCTGCAATGCTCAGCCCCCCACGTTGCATTCTGCGAATACTTACCGTCAGCTTGTAATGCAACCTTTCCAAACCGAATGCCAATTCCATTCATAATGAGCTTATTCTCACCTCACATCGGTATTATCGATGGGCTATGGGCACTATTTTCTTGGGAGTAAGACCTTGTTTCGAGACTGTCTAGGTATTTTTCCTGTGGCTCTATTCTAGTCTATTGTCGTCATCTTTGCTTCTATCGTCGTCGTCGCTTCCCATATCTTCGTCGTTGTCTTTATTATCATTGTTATCGTCGTCGTCGCTGTCGTTCCTATCGTCTTCAGGGGGTCATTCAGTACACAAGAAACGTAGCTCGCAGACCCAGGAACATTAGGCGGTGACTTTCTAATAGGTCATTTAGGTAGCCTCGAGTCCAATTAAATTCAGAAGCCAAAGAGGTACTCATTAGATGCTTATCTGTGAGAAGCGCATTGAATCGCGGGGCTAAAACGGCCGCCATCATTACCACGGAGGACTAGCGAGCACCATCACCCATCAGAGTCAATCTAGACCTCCGCTAATAGTCTGAACATACTGGCGACTTGATTCGAGACACGGAACATTCCGTGCCACTCGATACATGGGTCATAATGGTAAAATATTCCATCCGATGTTAATGGGCCCAAAAAGCAAAAGAAATAATCAACTCGTGGGTGGGATTTAACCACCGAATCGCCCCGAGGTGGGCTCGAACCACCAACCTCCAGATTAACAGTCTGACGCGCTAGCCAATTGTGCCATCGGGGATGTTGAGATGTTGTGTCTGATTTGACTTGGCGGGTTGAGGGAATTTTGGGAATATGGAGCTTACGATGTGGACCTGGCGGTGCTGGGTGGATGCAAACGCGGCAGATAGACCCAGTTGGACAATCTCAGCCCCATTTCCATATAGTTATCAGTATTTCTTTTCTCAGATATGACAGAAGATATAACGCATATTGAATACACCTTGACTACTTACTCTCTTTCATCTTGAAGAGTTTCTCACTTGCACACACATCAGGCGTGATAGAAAGAGTTGTTGTCTGAGCCTATTCCGGGTTGTGGGCGAGTTCCTTCAAAGAGTGGGGCATTCATTCGGGTTGTGTGAAAGTTTATATCAAAGTTCTCTCTTACCCGTTCACAAGTCATTTGACAGAATGATTGGAGCTTTTGAGCGCTGAGTGTGCATCAGATTAGGAAATGGGGAATTCACATTGAGTCACAAAATACCCCAACTGAGCAATAAGCCAATGCATTCATTACTTGATCTTTTGCACTGCACTCGAGAGGACAGAAAACATCCATTGCAACTGCGACTACCTAGCCCAGACTAACATAAGAATCATAATTTCGATAGGAAAAGTAAATTTACGGCCTCTGTCGCCTGAATTTGACCCTCAACATTCACAGGTCAAAACTCTGTTGGACCAAATCCTCGCTCATGGCCCACAGCTTCTTCGCATTCTCGCCATCAAGTGCATACTCTCGAGGCGTTCCGACCTGGCAGTTCTGAATATATGAGCCGCTATGAACCGCAAGCTCCGGATCCAGCGCGGCCGCCAATATAGACGAGCACCCTTGAGTCGCGGTCTTGAATGGCATGTCGATCGCGAAAGGCAATCCGGTGTTCTTTCGAGAGATCTCGTCGCCCTTGTCAAGCTCTGTCATGGAAACATGATTAAAGAGACCAGTGCCTCCGATGCTTCCGGGATGGACTAAATGTGTTAGGCGGTGTTTGCTTTCTCGCAGCTTCGTATTATGTAAGTTGCACTCACCAGACAGTGAGACAATCCCACGGTCTTTCAGTCTGCGAGCTAACTCGACACTGAATAAGATGTTTGCGGTCTTGGATTGTCCGTAACCGCTCCATCCGTGATAGTCTTTGCCCTTGTTGAAGGTCGGGTCGCTCCACCACACGTCGGAGAGCTGATGTCCGTGGCTCGAGACGTTGATAATGCGGGCATCCTCACCAGCGGCAAGAATCTTGGGCAGCAGCAAGTTCGTGAGCAGGAAGTGTCCGATATGGTTGGCACTGAACTGCAACTCGTTTCCCTCGGCATCTGTCGTGAACTCCTTGACGTACATAATACCGGCGCAATTGATCATAACGTCAATCTGGGAGATATTGGAGTCTTCGAGGATTTTGGCAGCTGCGGCTCGAACGCTGTCCTGGTCGGTAAGCTCAACAGCAATGAAGGTGGCACGGATAGACGGATCGATGGCGGCGATCTCCTTGATGACAGGCGCCACCTTGGCTTCGGAGCGACCAGCAAGGATGAATGCCGCGGGCGACGCCTTGGCAAGAGAAGTGGCCATATAGGCACCCAACCCGTTGGCGCTAGCACCAGTGATGAGAAATGTGCGGCCTTTGACATTGGAAGCGAAGGTTGAGACAACTTCTTCCGCGGTAGTGTCGAAGCCGAAGGAGGCCATTCTGAGAGGTGTTTCGGATCTCTGTTGAGATTGATACCTTGTAAAAATGGATTGGAACGACAATGGGGTTTTGAATCGGGAAAAACTTTGGTTTCTGGGAGAGATACTGGATATGATGTGATGAGAGTGCTAGATATCTTCATGTTGGTTTGCGGACTGGAAAGTCCCCTTCTTTTATAGACATTTCGTCGCATTCTCAACAGCGTTACTTTATCCCAAGATGCCGAGCTCAAATGTTCCAAGTAGCAAGTGCTGCGTATAACAATCCGTTTTTGAACAAGCTCAACTTTGAGGCACGTAGATGAGCCTCTTCTGGGTTGCAGAAGCGAAGTTGTGCCAGCGATGTACCGAACACGACATACCCTAATTTGTTCATGTGCATCAAGGTAATTGCCGTAAACCCGAGTGTTGACTAAGCTCCGCGATACGGCAGGCAACAGCATTTGCAGAAAGCCTTCTCTCAAGACTAATACAATTCTTATCAGTAAAGTATTATGGGGAAGTGGCTGAATAGCTCTTCGCCGCCTCGTAGGAAACAGCCCACTAAGTCCGCTCTGGGGCAGGATGCATCATGCAACCCGCGTCAAACACGCTCTCTCGGGCTTAGTGCTGATGGTGCATGGTGGGACGATGCAAGTATTGATAATACATCCCACATGTCTCATTGGGCCGTCATATTCCCTCGATCTAAGTGGGATAACCATGTGATTAATCATTGAGGTAGCACGAAAAACTCGGAAGAACGTCTTGTAGGTATTTGAGCGCCGAGACTCGTCTCCAAACTTAGGTTGGTAAGCATCGTCGCGCGTTGAACAGCGGGGAGATTGACTAACCCCTAAGCCTAACAGCGTTGAACCCCTTCCGCGACTTCACTTGCGTTCTCAGAGTACTCAGCAAGTACATTGATACTGGTGTACTATTATAAACGCTCGTCGCAAGCATTACGCGACGTGCTTATGCGACCCGAGTATGCAAGCGCCCAAGACGTCGTCACGACGAAGGCAGCACCACATACGTAGTCGGACTGGGTGCAGTGCCTGCAAAAAGAGACATGTCCGATGCGATGAGAAGCGACCGACATGGTAAGTCTCATTGGCACTTCTCTGACTTTCTCGCATTCCAGCACACCGAATCCATGTAGCTATTATGATCTTACCCCTTTGGGCCACATAGACGCGTCGTACAGGAGGATCAGACGATCTTGCCAGAACAGCTTTTATGACCCTTGCCCCTTTAGATCAGATATACGCGGGGTGCATGAGAATCGGATGACCTTGGCCAATATCGCTAGGCCTATAAGCCGCTTGCAAGGGTGGCGACGTGGAGGATCTTTGTCATAGCAAGCAAGAATGAGCGAAATTTCTCTGACCTTTCTAACAGCACAAAGTGTCTCGTTTCTGGCACGTCGTGCGTCTACCTCCCTCTCGAGCGATGGATCAGCGAGACCGGTGATGGTAGCATTTTGAACGGGTCTCGTCCCAACTTCATAGGGAGTGTTGGACGGAATGCCGTCTGGCAGCTTCCCAAAGACCCCAGGACCGTGGACCCATTTGATAGCATGCCGCTATACATGTCGTCCAAGTCCCATGAGCTGTTTCGATACTGTGAGTCTACTTACCTCCTGTACCATGGAGGAGGTCTCCATACTTTGCAAGCCTGATCAAGCCTGACGTCCGCCTTCCGGTTAGTCCTGGACGTCAACTCCCCGAAGGATGGAAATACCCTCAGGAACAAGCAGACGTAAGTCAAATGTTTTCCTTTTCCCTCGATTGCTTCGACCTTTTTGGCTAAAAAATACTAAGTTGCAGCGTCGGCAAGGTGGCCAACAATCCAGATTCTTTTCATGGTATTTTGTTACTAGCCGGTCTGCATTACTACTGGAACAACGGTAACCTTGGGGAATTTGCTTCGACATACTACATGCACAAGATCAATTGGATTCGTTCCATCAACTCATATCTTGGAGGGGCTGACCACAATGACCCCAGTAAGTTCAGGACTTACCTGAACATTGTGGGCACAATCGCCCTTATAGAGGTAAGGCTACAAAGCTCGTCCTCTGGTCAAGGTACTCTGAGGACCTTCACTGACAACTTCATTTCATTTTGTGTATACAGATGAGCATGGGCGATCACGACGCAGCACGAGCCCACCTGATTGGCCTATCCATGCTCAAAGACAAGTTCCAATTCCTCCAACAGAAAAGCTTGACCGGTTCGAATATGGCTGATACGCCGTCTACATCTGCAATTTCCACAGATGACACTGTTCAACTCTATCTGGCCCTCGTCACATGCGACGTGATTATGGGGACTTCGAGTTCGCTCCAGCCTCCTTTTCCACAAGAAGTGACTAAGCGACGACAGCCCAAAGCTCCTACAGGAGAGGAGCATAATTTGCCCGACGGTCGACTACCCCTGTGGCTCGTCACCTATTTTCTCATGGCAAGCTATGATATATCCGGCGAAAACTTTGATCTGACTGATCTGTTGGATTATCTGCGGTTGGTTACCACCGCACATGGTGGTTGCTATACCTTGCCGTCCTTGCCTGTTATGCCCACCCTTGAAAGCCAGACGGACACCCAGACACCCCAAACTCCCTCGCCTTTTCACACCAAAATTCCTTGGGGTAGCACTGTCGCTGCCGGAGGTGCCTACATACACTGCATAATCGGTCTACCATGGACATACGGACCCAGCACCGGGGGCGGTCCCTTATGCTACATGATCCCCGCTATCCAGCAGGATGTTGCTGCAAGCGAAACCGCTATGGCAGGGTCACGGATCAACATCAACGGCTGCACAGAGGGGACTCGGCTCGGCCAGGTCCTGTGGCTATGGAAGGTCGTGGTCGGCGCTTGCACCGTTGCGAGCGCTCAAAAGGCGGGCCTCCCGGCTCCGGAACCTGGGGGTCTGGGCAGCGAGCCATATCACCAGGACGTCATTCCCAGAGCGTATCGTGACGACAGCCCGCTCTGTGACGATGACGATGAGCTGTATGCCATGCTAGCGGAATGGTGGGCCAGAAGGCTGAGGCGATGGAGTAGGGCCACAGGGGTTATTGAGTGGAACGCCGCGAGAAACGTGTTGGCGCTGGTGGCATGGCCGGAAAAGGGTCCGGGTGAGAGGCTGGCTCAGAGGATATGGGAGAATGCAGTCAACAAGCGGGTGACATTTTAAGGAAGGTACTTGACACCAGAGTATGTCTTGTCCGGCGAGACGAAAAGACGATGGCATATTTGGGGCAATTGATAGGATCCAATCTCATATACAGTATCGACTTGTCTACTTTGGCATTCCTTTGGTACGGACCGTCTAGTAACTCTAGAATATCGTCAAAACGATCTTTGGAAGGTTTCAATAGCAAGTTCATCCTGAGTTTGTTGTTCATCCATATGTTTTGACTAAGGTAGGTAATGTTATATGTCAGTTGTTTGTTGAGTTAACTGACAAAGTGTCTTGAGCATGGCGGTAGACCAATACCTATGATGACTTGCAAGAAAATAACACAGTTGGCAGTATGTAAGTAACTTCGCACACGAAGGCTTCAATATTCAAACGTTCTTGAGCATGATCAGTTGCGCATCAGCATCGATCCGATAGAAGAACAGCTACACAAACACAGTAGACCGAAATACTTTTACAGTAACAGCAAATGTTGAAGTTGGAGGCCACTGTCTCATTCAACTGCTAGGATAACTTCATGTGTGTTGTCTGACAGGTTGGGATGATGTGCATATTCGTACTAGGAAACCGGGCTGGCAATCTGCAAGGCCCTAGCTTCCCACAACGTTGCGGAGTCAAAAGCCCCGCAAGACAACTTGGGCTGGGTTGAGTCATGGCCCATGTCACCGGACCGAGCCTGCGTCACTCCCCGTGCAATGTCTCTGATGTCTCCAGGGGTTGTCCTTGCGATCCGATTTCTAGCTCGATGACGATCCGGCCAATCATACGTACCCTGTCTTTGCTGATCGCGATCTATTCCTCAGCAGTCATCACTGGATTCATGGCAGCGAAGCTTTACGGTGAGAGTTCTGTGTATTGGATGGCTATTATACGATTGCAAGCAGTCCAGTACCGGAGTGGCAACCGATGTACTCGAAGTGCTGCTGCTCCGGCTTCAACACCAACACTTCGTGGAACAGACGAAGCGAAACATTGTTCTCCAACTTCTTGGCATATTGCAAGAAGCCTCCGAAGATCTTCAGATGTGTCGGGTGTTCCTTCGCCCAGCCCTCGAGGGATGCAAGATCGTCGAAGAAGGCCAATCCGAAAGTGCGGTCCTTGTCGGCCTTACCCGTCGCGGGGTCTACGAGGTCCATGAATCGGCAACTGTGGCAGCCGACCTCAGCGCCTTGGTCGCGAAGGAAGTTCATGCCCTCGATGAGCACGGGGTGCATCGTTGACAGGTACAGCTCCCGCTCTTCGGGCAATGTTCCAGACCAATCCTGGCCGGATCGGATGACGGCGAGGTTCTTCTTGCCAGAAACCTGGACTCTTCGAGGCTTGGGGACTCCGTTGCCATTTGTCGTTCCATTTGTGGCACGCTCGACCTTCTCTCCAACAAGCTCATCGTTCTGAGCTGCTGCCATTCTATCGCGCATGCTGCCCCAGTATACGTGCTCCTTGATAGGCCCGATCACACGTTCGCGCATGTGTGCCGCTCCCTCGGGGATCTCGTTGTTGGAGAAGACCGTCTCGAAACGGTCCATCGTGGGGAGGAACATCTCGAGGAACCAGCCGTGGCGCTCGGCTTGGGCATCAAGCTCGTCCCACCATGTCTTGAAGCCGGAGTCGACAGACCACTTCTCGTATGCCGCCTTGCTGGGCCAGTAAGCCAGGTGGGCAATGTTGTAGTATCCGTGGGTATCGGTGACGGCAGCCCACTCCGCGAACTGTGGACGAGACTCGGGCTCGACGGCCTTGGAGGTGGTGAACTGCGTCAACCGTGCGACGGCATCGCCATCTGCCTTATCTTCGGAAGCATACTGGGCGCCGATGACAGCAAAGACGAGGTCTTTTGTGGCTTTGGGGAAGCCGGCGCTGTAGGCTGGGAAAGGAGGTTGCCAGTCTGTAGGTGTCTTGGCGGGGATCTTTCGGGGGCACTGAAGGTGCTCTGCGATGGCGGAGACGAGCATCTTGTAATACGTGATATGGGATTGGTGGCGGGGAATGATGAATCCTGCCGGGTCAGAAAGGAGCTCGGGGGCCTAAGCTTTTAAGCTACATGGAGGTACAAGGACCAAGGCGACAACTCAAGACCAGGTCCCTCGTCAAGAGTTGGCTAATATTCCTCGGTCGAACAGGATGGCAGAATCCACGCGCGTGCCGCCATCTCTGCAGCTCTGCAGTTGCAGGGATCTTAGACAAAGCATGGACAAACATGGACCGACAAACATGGACCGACAAACATGGAGGCAAGCATCGCACGTTTGGGCAGGGGACTTACCAATGTTGGACATATCCTTGCCCGTTGGATCGGAACCTTACTTCCTACTTTGGAGTAGTCTCGAACAGTGGCTGAATCCTGTGATGAAATACTCGGAACATCCGTCCAGTTTCCGTCTCCTTTTGTGACCGTAATGAGTGTCTTATCTCGAGCAAACGGCTTTCCAAGAAGCCGTTGGGCGCTATTCTTTAGCGTACGCGTGGATGATAAGACATACCGGACTCTGGGGTTGGGTTCCGCGGGCACTGACGGTAGGCTAGAAAAGTGGCTTGCGGGATGACAGCTCCGCACCGGTAAGCCATAACAACAGACTGGGAGATGCTTCAGCCCTCACCAGATGACAGACGCATAAAACCACACAGACTGCGCGTCATGTCTTGGGCAGCACCCGAAAAGGGACCTCGCAGGGATGAGGGACCGGTGCGCAGCCGACTAATGTTCCACCAGACACACAAAACCCCACCACCCAAGTGGGCAGCAGGACGCCTTTCCCAGTCTCTGCAGCCTCGGGTTCTGGGACAAACTCGCTGATCTATATTGCAGACCTGACACTAGTACCGCGGAAAGGCTCCTTCGCGATTCAGGCACCATATGGCCATTGGCCTCCCCCTTTCAAAGCGGGTTGTCGGAATGCAACTCAAGGCGTCAAATGGCACCACGCGTAGTCAATCTGCACCCCTGGTTGAAGAACATTTCTGATTTCGGCAGTCTAGGCGGACAAGGCTGCCAGGTCCGTGACTCGATTTGGGGTTGAGGAGAATTTTGTATAATTCATGCTTGGGCCCCGACAAGCTTTGCAGTGAAAGAAAAAGGGAGGCCGGCCACATAAGAGCGAAGAGGGGGCAAACTTGCGGACGAGAAACCACCGCAACTGCATAGCCTATCCTCACCCCACCACCACCATTCCACCATGGCGACACCGTTCCAGGTCGAGGCTTGGACCGAGTATGCCATCGGCTTGCTCGTGCTCCTCGTTCGCATTGTCTACAGGTCGACTATTGTCGGGACCAATTGGGAGGGCGATGACTATTTTGCACTGATTGCAGTGTTCTTCTGGACGGTATGCGGAGGGTCCCTGGCCGCATCGGGCTTTGAAGAGAGGTTGAAACTGACTTTTGGGTTCAGGGAGAATTGGTGATGCTAGAGTTGATCGGTGAGAACACTCTCGCTTCCCCTTGACAGTTGCTGTCTAGTCTGAACTCTAACAATCGTTTCGTCCAGGACAATATGGCAGCATCACTGGAATGACCGATGAGATCGCCTTGACGCTCTCCGACAAGCAAATCGAAAGAATAGTCGTTGGTTCCAAATGCCTGCTGGCAGGATGGATTCTATACGTTACCCTCATCTGGTGCTTGAAGGCGTGCATGCTCTTCTTGTACCGAAGACTCACGTAAGAGAATCTCGCTCAAGGTTGCAACTTTGCGATGGACTCTTTCATTAAGACGGTTGCTACAGGCTGAACTTGACGCAAAGACGGATGGTTTACATCACTGCTTGCACCTGCGTTGTTCTCTATATCGTCACCATCATCGTGATCTTGACGAGATGCCAGCCGTTCCATGCGAATTGGCAGGTGTATCCCTACCCAGGTGGTGCGTTTTGACCCCTTTCTCGTTGCTTGACATGTCTGATTTGTGTTTTTGCTCTAGACGCTTGCGCACTGAACATTCCGAACTACATTGCTCTTGCAATCACGAACGTCACGTAGGTCCACCAAGAGAAGTGATTTCACGACTGAGCAAAACTAACAGCCCATCTTAGAACGGACATGATGATTTTGTATATTCCATTGCCACTATTGTGGTCTGTTCAAATGCCAATGGCGCGGTAAGTTTCTTTCGCTGCAAAATCCTCCGTCAAATGCAGTTCACTGACCAAACTAGCAAAATCATCTGCTCCCTCTGGCTCTGCACTGGTGTCTTCATCATCATTGCCACGCTGCTTCGCTGCATTCTTTGCCTGCAGGATGCACAGTCCATCAACCTGGGCACCATCTGGTCAATCAGAGAAACAGTAAGTGTGGCCCACGCACCTCAAGCAATCTCCCCCAGCCCCCCTTTCCCGCACCCCGGCAAACTCTGTATGCGCGTCGAACTAACCCGTTTTCCACCCTGGCAGTTCGTCGGCATCCTAGCTGTCAACGCCCCAGTCTTGGGTCCCTGGATCGCCAAAAACGCCTCAGCGGTGCGTTCCCGCACCTCCAAGAACCGCTCGAAGACGGGCGGCCAGGAGTCCGCCAACCACATCGTCACGATTGGCGCGAAGGAGAGCACCCACCGCCTGGACCGCCTTACAAAAGACGGCCGCCGGGGTCTGGGGTGGACTGAAATTGACAACGACAGCGAGGAGCGCATCATGAAGACGCAGAACGATGTCGCTGTCTCGGCGAAGCGTTCGGACGAGGAGCTCAACCGTGAGGTCAGTCCCAACGGTATCCATGTCAAGACGACCTTCCAAGTTTCTGGATGAGACGACCGGAGAGGACACGGAGGAAAAGAATACCCCAACGCGTTGTAACACGATGTAAACTGTGTAATGTAAAATAGATGATTGGATACGCATGGAATTTAGTTAGTTAGCTCAACGGGTCTGCTGTCACCGTCGTGGCAGAACGACCCAAAATCACGCCAGCTAGGCTGTTGGCTCATAATACTAGTTCATATATGACATCGCAACGGTGCATTAGTTCGGTTTGGAGATGATGAGTGTATCTCGTTTGGATATTGTTCTTCCGCGCTGCCTCGAAACCTGGAGTTGCAATCATGTAATTACCGCATAACAAAAAGCCTTCCGCGAGTCAAGATATTCACGTGTAGGATCTCTGAACCAGCAGATGCCAGAAATCCATGGACCTTTCCGTACCACGCGGAGGACTCCATACCATCGCAATTGGGGCCGATGGAGATGATACCGGACATGGAAGTGAAACCATGCCGGTCATCACTCGATGCTGCAAGAGAGAAGAGACAAGATAGGAAAGCGAGAACTGAGAACCACACCGAAAGAGAATGCGATGGAGCGACGACGTGGTCGGCAGATACGCTATATCCACCGGTGGGACTGCGGAGGGGTCCACTCCGCAGGTCCGCAACACTTCTCATTGGCTGAGACTCAACAACACCTCGTCCTTGTACGATCACATCACAGGCTTCACTTGGTTCTTGCGCTTCACGTTGGGCATCAGGGTACTGTTCACGAGTAATTCCCCTTGTCGATATCGAATTTTCAGTGTTCAGCTCTCCGATGGTTGAAGGCGCGTCTTGCAGTTTTCGGAAGCCTATTGAATCGCACCTAGCTCGATAAGCGGGCCAGAATCCTGCTTTTGCTCCCTTTTGGAAGGATTTGAGACATGGCTGGAGTCAGTACCATCCGTTGGGACATCTTGGTTCTCCTACATATGTGTGCTGATGCCCTCTTACCAAGCACTCAGGGGCCGTTGGCGCTCTATCCGCGATTTGGCCAAGCGCGAGGCTCTAGCAACTCGGGCATCCACGTCCTCGGATTCAGGGACCAAGAACACTCTTCGGAAACGTCGATCTTTGTCGGCGCTATGCGTTCGGACTTGTGCCAGCGGAATTTGACCGTTCTTCGAGAGACTATCTATGGAGCTTTTGCATATGCAGTTACCAACGGGGCCTCCCGTGGCTAGGCCTCAACGCGTTGAGAATGGGGAGTTGGGAGACGCAGCGGTGATCAGCAATGAGCGGTCAGAGAATCGAAATGTTGGACAACAGAAAGAAAAGCCTCGATGTCGAAATCTGACGAATCATCACGCCCAGAGTGCGCACCGGCCGCTTTCAACAATGCCCAACGACCCATGGACACATATCGAAGACGCCCGATCAATGATGAGTGGCCGTTGACTGCGTGCGAACTCGTGAAGCCGATGGAGAAATGGAGGTCAGGGGTCAGAAAGAGGCTGGATATGCCCAAAAGAAGAAGACTGGATACATGATTGGCGGACGAAGTTGTCTGGTTGGGACACTGGCTCAACTAAAGTTCAGAGTTGTTGGAGAACGGCCGACTGAACAGCCCGAGGTAAGTGAAAACATCGTGACGTGGACACACAACTACGTGACCGACTCTCGCCAAAGCCAGTGAAGTTGTAGGGTCTGTGATCTCGCTTGTAAAGGACACAATCATTTTCTTCTCCTTCTCAGGCTGAGGAATGCGAGATTCATATTCCCACGGACAGCCGATATGACCGTCTCCAGGCTGTCCCATCGCCTTCCACATGATGCCACCGCGAATCGTCACAATTTCTCCAAGTGCCGCGTCGATGATCTTCTTGCTGGCTTAAAACGCTGTTGATCACTTGTAATAACTATCGATTTGCTATGCCCGCGCTCATTTATGCACTGGCAGCATGCCGCAGTTGACGGGGTAAAGGAAACGGCGATTGAAAGCTGCAGGCTTCATAGCTTCCCGCCATTTGGTCGAAGATATCGGCGACGAAACGGATGATTTTGAGCCTCAGGTAAAGCTGCAGAAAGAGCGTTGGCGATATTCTGATCCCTCCGTCTCTCTTCTGCCTGCCGGCCCTTCCATCTTCAACGTTCAGCCGCATCTTCAGCCGTGAACTTCATCAAGCTCGATTCCTGCTGAGCTTTCTGTACACGCTTCATTTCTTACTGTGCTTGAGGTCTTATGATTAAAGAGTTCTTACCAAATGATTTGTATTCATAAGAAGTAGCATGGACTTCACATTAATCACAATGCTGTTTGGAAATAGTTTGCTTCATGGCTTCGGAATATGGCCAGTCGCTAAGTCTTGTATACCGCCTCCGGAATAGTAGACAATGGGGACCAAACGAAACCATTGGCGCAATGGCAAAGCTTTCTGAGACATTGAAACGGTCTCGATTGGACACGACTTGATGCGAATCTCCGGACACTAAGATCACCTGGGGTCTCATTCAAAGACGAGATGAAACATGGCGAGGCAACAACGTCTTCGTACGATCAAATGAAGCGGTGGAGAGAGACAGCAGTTACCGAGTCTAGCAGTCTGCATTCTGAAACGGGGACCTGAAGTCGTCGGCGTGGTCGGGATGAGTCAATTGTGATAGGTGTTGTTGCCAGCAATGGTTCAAGCTGTTTACGTCACGAAGCACAGAAAACATCTTTGGTTTGATTGGAACCAATCGAGAACACTCGTTGAATTATAACTATATTAACAAGGTTCTCGTAAACGAGTGTAGGGGTTTCAAGCCTCCGGTGCCGGGGGAGTAGCCGGAGCTGCAGGTGGGGCCGCTTCCGGTGCCGGTGCCGGGGCAGGAGCTGCGGGTTGGGCGGCAGGCTCGGCAGGGGCGGGCTGAGCAGCCGGCTGTCCCTCAGCTGGTGGCGTGGCAGGTGCGGCTTGCTGTCCGTTACCCTTGCCTTTGCCTTGTCTTTGAGCACCCCCGGGGCTAATGTTGATACCTAAGATTCATCATCAATTGGCGCTTCTCAAGGTTGAAGGCGAGGGTAGATCATACCTGACTTTCCGCCAACAGAGGTGCTGCCATCGCTGCCTTTGGTGATGCCAAGATTGCCGCCAACTAAGTTGATGATGTTAGTCGTAAGTCAAGCCAGGACGGTTGAAGCATTCCTACCATTCTGGACCTGGCCGTCGGCTCCAACGGTGATGCCGGCATTGTCCTTAAACTGCTCCGATTCTTGAACTGCCTTCGGCTGGCCACCTTCGCCAGCAGGCTTCGCCGCCTCGCCGCCCGGTGCGGGTGGAGCCTGTCCCTCACCGGCAGGTTTCGCCGGTTCACCGGCCTGTCCGGGCTGAGCTTGTCCCTCACCAGCCGGCGGAGCGGCCCCGGTCCCAGCGCCGTTGCCCTTGCCCTTCCGCTGTGCCTCCTTCGCAGCCTCCTGTTGCTTGGCCGCCTCGCCAGGATTCGAACCGAGGCCCTGTTCAGCCTTTGCCGCCTCGCCTGGGTTAGCTCCTGGTCCACCCTCTCCCTTGCCCTTTCCTTTGCCCTTCCCTTCGCCGCCGGCCGCACCTCCAGCTGCGCCTCCAGCCGCACCTCCAGCGTTGGCGGTACCGTTCTTCTTTCCATTGGCCACGTTCAGGAAGGCATCGAGGGCGCTGTTACCAGTGCTGCCTGCATTCTTCTTGCCGCCGAGCTGGATTCCTCCGACGGAGAGACCGCCGTTTCCACCGCCGTTGGCCGTCTGGTTTGCCGCCGCTCCGGCCTGACCGTTGCCCTTTCCTTTGCCACCGCCGCCGAGCTGAAGACCTCCTGCTCCGCCGATGTTGATACCACCGCCCGAGAAACTGATTTGCCTCTTGGTGACTGACGGCTTGTCGACGCTGGGTCTCACGAGAGCAGCTGCACGGCCGGCAACGCTACCCTATCAGGGGGATGAAGTGTTAGGTGGTTGTTCAGGCAGATTGGGATAGACATAGGTGATGATCATGTCTTGGTAGTGTGTAGCACATGGTAGTAACTCACACCAAACATCTTCAACTGGCTTTCTTGGCGATCATCGCAAAGCCCCCCCTCGCCAAGTGCCAAGAGGGTAATGGCAACAAGAGGTGAGAAACGCATTATTGCCGGGACGAATGAGATCCCAGAAGTGACTGTAAGTTCAAGAAGGGCCGCCCAGCAGCAAAGAAGTGAAACGTCGAAGAAGAAATTGAAAGAATAATAAAATAAAATAAAACCGACTACAAAACCAAGCGACGAAGCCTCAAGCCTCAGTACCGCCAATAAAAGAATGAGAGACGAGAAGAGATAAGTTGACGGGCCCGACAGACGAGATGAAGTGATGAACAGTCCGGGGAAAAAAGAGGGAACCGGCGTGTTAGTCCCACATATTACTCGGGGAACGGCATATAGAATCAGATGTCGTCAGAGAAGACAGTGAGAACATGTTCTGCGGCTGCCTCCTCCCCCTCAACCACCCTGGCTGACGTGGACGTGAATCCGGCCCGGAGAGCGTGACATTGGAGATCGCGAGCCGCATGAAGCCTCCTACAACAAGGACGGCCCCGGGGCTCGGGCCCTGCGAGATCTAGACTTTGCAGTCTTTCAACCATCTTTGCCCTGAAAAGGTCCCCTCATCCGCCCAAAACCCAGCAGGTTGGATCGGCAGAGTCACGCTAAAAGTTCCATTGTTTAAGAACGACAGAGGTTGGTTGCAAAACACACGTCAGCGGAGCCGAGGGGGGATAAACAACGCTCGCAAAATAGCCCGGTGCGCATGAATTTGGATTGGTTTGGGCCAACATCGGACGGCGCCGCAAGTGGCTCGTCTGGAGTTGACTTGCTACCGCCTCCACCATCTCGGCACGGCTTGGCGTCGCGGAGCTGCGGCAGCGCGGGCTATTATTGGGTTACCGGGGGTCGCCCTGGTGTTTATTCCGTAGGCGGTTGTTTTGTGCAACTCTCCGAGACAAGTTCAATTGACCATGGGTATGTTTGTTGTTGTTGCGAAGGGCAGGGTTACAATACTACCCCTCCGGAATTCAATTAGGCTTAACTTCTTTTCGTCTCTTCTTTCTCTCGTCGTGAGGCCGTCAGACATTACGAAGAATACAAGTCGCGCGCGCACAGAAGATTGAGGGACACCAGGTTTGTAGGAAGTGCTTCAGGGGGTATTGAAGTGATCTCAAGATCGGCCACACTCCCGCCACGCACCATGCTTCGTTCTCAACTCTTTCCACTCAATGTTACACCAAACCGTCACCACCCAAGAAGTTTTTCGCCTTAAAAAGGGCGCGACATAAGAAATAAGCAAGCCTCCTTCTTCCCCCAAACCTTCACTCCGGTCCTCCACTTCGTTTCGCCACAGTTTACGTGATGACGTTGTCGTCGTCGTTGTCGCTGTCAAGATTCCGGTGAACCTTTTCGTTCGCGGTGAGCTGTGTGCGCGCTTAGCAGCCGCAGGCGGTCGGGGCCAGCTCGAGGGGCAGGTAAGTGGTCCTGTAGACAGTCTTCACGTTGTCGTCGGCGCCGCCGAAGGAGCCGGTGGGCTCGGGCGAGTTGGGGGCGCGAGGGGGCTTCGTCAGAGTTACGGGGTGATTGTAGCCTGCAGACCAGCCAATGGTGTCAGGACAAACGCCTTGGTAAACAGTGGTCACTTGGGTGACGACGGCGGGCGTCGGAGTGACCTGCTGAGCCGCCGAAATGCCGCCCGTCGCCGTCGCGGTGGAGTTGGATCTGGAGAGGGTCTTGCTCACCGTGACAGTGACGGTGGCCGGCGGCGCGCAGGTGGATGGCTCGGCCCCGATCGGGGTGGGGTCGGTGCAGTCGTCGCCGGAGATGGAGAACTTGGGCGTCTGCGCGTAGATCACGTAGACGTTGGTGCCGTTGATGGCGTTGCTGTGATTCGCGAAGGGACAGGATGTTAGCCAACAATCTCTCTGTATCAGGTGCTCCGCCCAATGACGGAAGAGCCAACCGTGAAGGCAAGGCCCTTGCCGAGTTGTGGTAGTGTGCTCCGCTTTTCATTTAAGATGACGGACACCTGACTCGTCGAGTACCCCTGTTTAGAACAGACTGAGGGGGGATCAGCCCTTTCAGGGGCTGGGCTGAAGAAAAGCAAACCTCGAAACGACGCCTCGAGACAGAAGGAAAATGGGAGTTCTCACAATTGGTAGCCACCAGAGTTGATGGCAGAGCAGGGAACGTCAACGGAGGCGGCGCCGGAAGCGGTCTCGATGTTCTGGGCCAACAGAGTGTAGGAAGGAGGCCAGTTGACGAAGTTGACGAGGTAGACGCTGAAGACGGAAGGGTCCGTGTCGACGGTGTCCCAGCTCAGCTCGTACTTGGAGCCCTTGGTGACGGTGGAGTTGAGCGACGGGCTGGTGAACTCGATGGCGGAGACAGCCAGAGGGGCCGCGAGGGCGAGAGCAGCAGAGAAGCGCATGTTTTCTGTGGAGTTTTCTGATCCGGGATACGATACAAAAGAGTGACTGGGATCGGTGAGGGAACGAAAAAGATCCTGAAAGGCCGAGGTCTGAGTTAGGGGGGCATCGCGAGCATTATGTGCACTTTTTTCGCGCGTCCACCTCGAGTCGAGCTCAAACCATGGGAAATTGCCAAATTGGCGACAGGCAGCCAAGTTGCTGGGCCGCAGGAGTAGTGGAGTCTCTCGCCCGGGGGACCGACTCTCGGCTCCGTCAGCCCAGAGAAAGATATCGTGTGAGGAGTTCGTATTTTACTTTTAGCAATCCTGTTGACTTGGACGGCCTCAAGGGCCCATGTGCGGTTCAACGACAGCGGACGTAAGACTCAAGACAGCAATTATGACACGGATCGCATGTCTTGGATTGGCAAGGTCGCGTGGCGTAGCGTCAATCTAAGCGAGAGAATTAAGCACTATGCGGCACAGTCTGAGCCGATTCCTCTCTCGGCTCTGCCCCTGAGTCCTGCGCCTTTGTGCCCACGAACTGGTGCCCCCCTCCAAAACCTCATAATGGCCCTATGTAAGGGGGTTTGCCCGAACCGGACCGTTGAGACAGGCGTACGGCCGGGCTATTGGGCGTCCGGCAGGGGCGCGATTCCCGATACTCGGGCTCCCACGCGCGGTCACTGGTCGTCCAGCCTTCAGCCAATTTTCAAGCCATCCTCCTCGATCCTCCTCACTTATTCTTGTTCACCCTTTTTTCAATGAATCGACTCAATCGAGCCATGGCGCTGCGTCCTTCCTGTTCCTTTGAACGCGGCGTTGCGGCGTGGCGCCTCGTAAAGGACGCCCAACCATGGCTGTCATCTTACCGCCGCGCCGCACACTTGCACAAAAGGGGCATCGCCCATTGAGCAATGGCAGAGCGCCTCATTTCGATGTCCGTACAAACAGTACGGATTTGCAGCCATCTTACTCGACGAGCCGGGAAACAATGGCAAATGGCAAAAGGTCCCCGCAGAGAAGGAAATTGGAGATGAGCAGGTCGCCGCAAAGAGGGGGAAATCATCGACGTTTGCTGGTGTTTTTGCCGCGCGAGCCAGCAATTGAGAATTCGAGACCCCGCCACGCGCATTTGGTGTCATTTCGTCTCCTGATCGTCTCGTGGGCGCGTCGCAGGACATCGTCGCGGGTGCGGCGGGGCCCAATTCAACCCGGCGCTGATGACTTGCCATAACTCCGGCTTGGCAGAGGTGACATTTTGCCGACGGGATGAAATCCGTCAACCACATGATGTCGCTCAAGGTAGGAACAACAACAAATTATCATTGATACGGATGACAGTGAAACTTGATTCATTCGTTTCCCGATAGCCAGTCAAGACTCATGTCGGGCCAAGCTGGGCTTCAGCCGATGTCAAAAGATTAGCAGCCCCATTTGTGGCCCCGTCTTAGAAGCGACTCTCGGCTTACAGGGCCGAAAATCTGGGGTAGGCTGCCTCAATCTCTATTGTGACCTGCGAAATTGGCCCCCAAAGCGACATTCAAGGCTCACTGTTGCAACTTGCCCAACCAACTCATTTCGGCGCTATTCTCAACTGTGGCTCTTCATCTTGCAACTCCTGCCAAGCAACTGCAACTCAGTCATGTCCATGATTGTGTGCCTGAACTACCGTGCCGCAAACGTGCAACTCTAGCCAAACTTGGCCACTGCTTTGCTTTGATCTTAACCCAGTGGTAACTTCATACAGTAAGAGCGACGTATGTTTAGTATCAGCTAGGGAAGAATGAGTTTGCTTTCCGATTTTGCCTCAATAGGTGTCTCAATCTCGGCCTTACTAATGACGACAAAACTTTCTCCTTCGAACGGCAAATTTCATGAGTACAGCCAATCCGTTCCAACCTGGCGAAGAAATGGTAAGACTTAGTCTGGACGTTGTGCAAAGGCTGGCCGTGTGAGATTAAATATCCGTACATGGCTTGCTGATTGAGAATGATCCATTGAGCTCTTCGTCAAGCTCCGTTTGAGTAACGACCAACATGCCGTGGAATCATGCGTTCTTTATTCGATCTCAACCCTTACATTTCTCGTTGACACATGCAACTGCGAACTATAAAGTCTCCCCGATGGTCTCGGAGAGAAGCTGTCAGCGAAGATCCCGACGATGATGCCTCTCGTATCATGACGATTGCACACCAACGACCATGCTCTCGACGCTCATGCGACTACTGGTTTTGAGCATTCTGACTTGCAGGGCCACCGCAAAGCCCGTGAAAGATTATACTATCTTCGCCCCGGTTTACTCCTCCGACTCTCGGCGCCTGACCGAAACGGACATGGTGGTTGGAAAGCTTCAAGGAAACGAAACCATTGAGAAACGCGAGGGAGGAAAATGCCACTACGTCTCGTTCTGCAAAGAACCCAAGTACAGAGGGAAATGCATCACTCATTGCTATCCCCCAGACGAGTTCGTGATTATGGCGTCCGAGTGGCAAACGGAGACTAAATCAATCCGGATGAGACAAGGTGCCGAGTGTTGGTTTTACCGGTGAGTAATCAAAGCTGGTCAACCGTACTTTTGACTGACCTCTTCTCTGGCAGAACGTCGCTCTGTGAAAAGAACCGCCGCATGACACCGAAGCAGTTTATTGTGTGGCCTGGGGCTGACCTCAAGCCACCTATTTTGGGTAACGTGGGTTGCATGTTTTGCCCAAATGTAGACGCGGACTATTTTGAGTGATGTCCGCGCTTTCAACAAATACCCATCTGATGGCGGGATTCTTGAACATGCTTGGCATGAAGGGGGATGTGAAGAAACATTTCTGTCGCTGCATATAAGTTCTTGGAGGTTTATCTAGACAATCACAACCTCCTGGAAACTCTGCCTCAGCCTGTCATTCATCATCTCTCCATGCATGATCCCGTGGATATATGCTTCCCCTACCAGGAGGTAATCCTCACCAACTCCACCCGTCCTGCCTGACTTTCTTAAAATCAACGGCATCCTTCCACCTCGCATCAGCCAAATTTCATCTCCAACTTGCGCCTCGGCACGCCCGAGGCCCAGGAAGCCTCCTTCAGTGATTATAACCTGCCGTCCGGGTGTGACAAAATCAATGACTTTAGTGATGTGATTGTCAATCAGGCTAGAGCGGAAACCATCCTGAGACCCCCTCTCCAGAGCGTCGTCTACTGTCATGAAAGGTTTCCTCCGGTTTCTATTCTTAACTCCTGCGGGGAGAACCGGTTTCTTACCATCTTGACTTAGCAGCCAATTATATGTTATGCAGTCCCTAACCCAATCCTCACTTCGCTCTTTGTAGTCCTTTTTCAATATGACTCTTGGCCTAATGTCTGCGCTAAGTGTATGCACAACGGCCTCAGCTGGCGATTCACTTCCAGTAATGTAGGCGTCATTTCGATTGCAAAAGTCCAAAATCCAGGAGACGTTCCAAAGGACTCCCTGGTCATCGTGATGTAGCTTGTGTATCTTCTTGATGTTATCGATGCGACTGCCTTCGAGTCTCAGTCTAGATCTCTCGATACGAGCGAATGGTTTCGGGGATTCGAAGAGGCTTGTCGTGCGTGTGGCGTCGAGCGGTCCGTACCAGCGAGCGTACTTCATCCTTATCTGGCGCGCCCTCTGCAAAGAAGTGTGACGCGCTGGGCCATGAAAAGAGAAGTCGGGCACCCATGAGGGCAAGGCACCGCTTCTTCCTAGGGCAAGGCCTGCCAGACCTAGGATATCCAAGTTGGGCAGATGTGGGATCAGCCACGTCGCGACGTCGGTGAAAGCTTGCTCCACGGAAATATCGTAACTCGGGGTCACCCCGAGAGGGTACTTAGGTCCAAGAATCAGGGGCATCAAGCCCAGGGTGCCGTAGATGTGGTCCAACGGGTTCTGAAACTCATAGAATCGTAATCGGTGAAAGTTGTGCAAGACCTCCGCATGTCGCACCTCCTCATCAGTGACCGCGCCCCAGCGCCTGTTTTGCCAGTCGACCATGCTATCATTGATGGTCTCTTCTTGGAAGTCTGGTAGGGACGTTGAAACGGGGTTCCAGAGACGATCGATGGTCCCTTTTCTCGCCTTCCATTCTGGTAGAGATTCAGTAAGACTTGCCTCCAGTGTGTCGTCCCAGCCAACGTTAAGAATGAACGAGGCGAAGTTGTTGATGGTTGTCCACGAGAACTGACTTCTGCCGCACAACAAGACCACAGTGTACGGCTCTGGTATTGCCGCCTCTTGGACGACCCATCCCCTGGTCAGCCATCTCTTCTTCACAAAGAATGAAAAGAAGTCAGCATATGACCGACGCCAGCGCGCACACACCCCTGCGCCTATTAGCTCCTCTGCTTTAGGATGATTCAACTCGTGACCGGTATCCTGGCACAGCTGGATGACTTTAGGTCTTGACGAAGATCGTGACACATGCAGCATCATCGGCGCAAAGCCGTTGATGACCCAGTTGACATTATCGTTAGGTTCCGTATTTCCAAGCCAGGCAATGACGCGACTTGCGGATTGATAGATCTTTCCCATGAGCTGCACTTGATCCGACCTCTCGTCGTCATTCTGCTGATCGATGCAAATAGCGTCGACCCAGAAGTTGAAATGCCTCTCCGGAAAGACCAAGCGCCGAGTGTTTGTGGAAGGCCTTGCATACGTTTGAGGACCATAGGGATTCGATGCAGCAAACATTTCTTCGTTCATATGTCGTAGGAAGTCGTAGAGGCTTTCACCGATTTCCATATCATCCCCATCGCACTTGATGCTGAAACGCTTTCCCTCCGCTTTCTCATCCTGGGGGTCGTCGCTTTGAAAATCCGGAGAGCCCCATGTGTAAGAGAGCGCCCAAAATGGCGGTAAGTCGTGGAGGGAGTGAGCCGTCAAACGGACAGAGAACCCATGCTGGCTGTAGTCGTCGCGGATGATGTTCACCAGCCGGATGAACTGCGGCGATGGTAGTGGCTCGTAGTGATACATCGCTTTCCTTACGATTGAAACCTGTCGAACCTGTTTGCGTCGAACCAATCTTGCGATGCGACTCAATGCGAACATCAGATATATCACTTTTGCAATGTTGAAGACGTTTTGCAAGTTGTAGGATTCATTGTGGGACGGGTTCCGCCCGACTTTTCACTGGTCCAATGATTTAAGCAGAAAGCACGCTTATGCAAGTAAGACTGCGCCTTCGCGCAGGATCTACTCGGCAAGTATTTCGCGACCAAACCTAATTGGATGCAGTCTTGGCGCCATAACAGATGACGCTTCCTTGGACTGGAAAGGATCATGGTGATGCATTGTTGTAGAGGCCGGCTGATATGGTCAGGTCTTAACTTGAACTCAGCATGGCTTGGCAATTTGTCTGCCCATACATCTTAGCTTGTCGCTTCCACATATTCTTACAATAATGCTCAAGATACTTGCATCAGGCACATCAAATGCCTCTGGTGTACTTCGAGTCGGCTAGACTATCTTCGAGGTAAAAGTATCGTTAAGTCTCCGAGTTTTTCAACCTGAGCGCTGTTCGCAACATCAACCGGCACAACAGCTCTTCTCCAACTTCTTTGTGATTTTCTTGCTTTTATCTTTACAAGGAGCCATACTTTAAGAGCTTTCATTCGGGAAGACAAGACGTCTATGACGATTCAATCCACTGACTGACTTGGTATTGCAATAAACTGACACGCACTTCCTTTTTGCTTCAACCTCATATATTTCTTGTACGATTTAGACCTACTCATAGCGCACCGCTTTTGTGCCTTTCTTTGACTTGCGGTCTGTCCCGCCCAACAGATCGGTAGACGTCTGTGACAGACGCCCCATCAGCTTCGCTCCACTCCATTCAATCGGATCCATATGGCAGCCGACAATTGACTCCATCGTCAAGCAGCACATTACCTAATCCCCGATGGCACAATTGGCTAGCGCGTCAGACTGTTACGATCGGAATTGGTTGTTCACGACAATCAGGATGGTCATCTGGAGGTTGGTGGTTCGAGCCCACCTCGGGGAGAAACGATACATTTTTGACAATTTTTGTGCATTGAACATTAAGGATTTGTTTGCGGAGAGACGCGTGCAATATCTTCAGCTCAGCCGTCGAAAGTGTCACTGATTGCGCCTCACTGCTGAGAATGTGGTGGCACATTGGCAAGCTGGTCTATTTTGCCGCTACCCGGCGACTTGGAGCGGCTAATTAATTAACAACAGCTACTACGGTCGTAGGTTTTCGCTAACCACGGTCTACACATATCATGTGATACGCTGTGTAACCCAGACTTTCGCTAATTATCGTATCCGTATTTGAGACATGGCTGTAAATCTGTTGACCCCGCACGAATCACGAACACACTGAATTCCAGAAAGAACCACGTACGGCCCGATCACGATGTCGTCCGAAGTCCTGCCAATTTTGGCGATGAATCACTTTATTCTCGCCGGTTTGATCATTCTCCTACCGTTGGTCTTCTTGACTGTACGTTCCGATAGCAAAGATGACCCGCCGTCGATGGCTGAGACGATCCCCTTCGTGAGCAACACATTCCAGTACATGACGAACTCCAGGGCGTTTATGCAACGCGCAAGGTATCATCACCACTCGATTCACGATCGGGGAGACGTCTAATGAGGCGCAGCCAAGCATTAAGATCCAAGAATATCGTCAAACTTCGTCTTGGACCGGTACGCGTGTATCTCATCAAGGGAGGCCAGCAAGTCCAAGCAATGTTCCGAAAGTCGACCGCCATGAGCTCTGACAAATTTGTGATCATGGTCTTGAAGAAGCTCCAGGGGTCACCTGAACAAGACGTCGCCAGGTTTGCCAATGACAAAACGGGCCGACTGAAGACCCCAGAGGCGGGATTTGAGAACGTGCCTGAGGACCAGCGCTACTGGCACACTTTACATCAAATTACCACAAAGAACCTTTCCATCATTGAGAACACATCCCAGCTAGCCAGCAAGTATATCGACTTCCTGGGCGAGGCTTTGGAGAAACAGCCGTTGGGAGAATGGTCAACGGTTCGGGTATTTGAGTACCTGAGAAAAGACATGGCAGAAAGTGCGGTCAAGTCACTCGCCGGCACTAGACTCTTGGAGATCAACCCGGGATTCATCGACCAGTTCTGGAAGTTTGACGGCGTTTCCCACCAGGTCCTTAACGGCCTCCCGCAATGGATCAACCCGAAGCCGGCTCGAGAGCGAGACAAGCTCCTCGCGATGACGGAGAAGTTCCTGAATCAGGAGTTTGACAAATTTGATTGGCATGGACTGGGCACAGATACGTATTGGGAACCGACTTTCGGCTGCGGCTACTCGCGCGATCTTCAGAAGTGGACTTATGACCAGAACATGACGATGCGAACACGTGCAGGGTTTCTTGCGATGTCGATCTTTGCGTACGTTTGCTTCTAGCATATGCTGTATGACTTTTGAACTGATGCATCGCAGGGTCAATTCGAACACTGTGCCCGTCACAACGTGGTTCATCATGGAACTTCTCAAAGACCCGGGTCTCTTTGACGCAGTCCGTGCCGAGGCCTCTGAGGCGCTGTTGATTGACCCCCAAACCGGGAAACGAGGATTTGACTGTCAAAAGCTAATTTCGTCGCCATTGCTACAGTCGATCTACATCGAGTGCATGCGGTTACACGTCTCTATCGGGATCACCCGGGAGATCATGGAAGACACGGTCTTGGACGGCTACCGCTTGAAGAAAGGGTCTCTAATTCAGGCGCCAACGAACCTTGGGCATCAGGATGACGACGTTTGGGCTAGAGATGGCCATCCTGCATCGGAGTTCTGGGCTGAGCGTCATGTCAGGCACATCCAGAAAGTTGATGAAACCACAGGCGAGGTGAAGATAGAAAAGATGTTTGTCATGGCAGGAAAGCAAAGTGACTTCTTTCCGTTTGGTATGCAAGTCCCATCTTTGAGATATACAGAGTAGAGCTGACTTGTGAGTAGGTGGTGGGGTCTCGATGTGCCCGGGACGTCACTTTGCCAAGCAAGAGATTCTGCTCACAGTCGCGACTCTAGTCACGAAGTTTGACATGGAGATCTTGGAATGGACTCACATGGACGGGAGGAAGTCTGACCGGCCCGCGAAGGATAACGAGAAGTATTTCCTGAATGCGGCCGTGCCTCCCGACCGTGATGTAAGGATCCGGTGGAAGAGATTGTGGTGGCCGGATGGGCATAGGAAATCGGTAATTACAGGGGAACGTCTTTGGAAAAGGTCTAGGAGAACTGGGGAGGGAAGCTTCTAGATTGTGTATGTACGTCTGTGAAGAAATTGACATGAAGAGAATTGCCTATTTTTTCAGGCCTGTTCCGCTGATTTTCTCCATCCTGCAAACTGTTCTCGACCCACCCAAGCATCTAGACTTTGCTTGCAACAATAGAGGGGTCTGCGTTCTCAACGAGCATCTGAACGTACTCGTCAAACCACTCTCCGGCCCTCGGAGCACCCTCAAGTCCGCAGCGTCCGTCGCTCTCACCACCGGGCTTGACCCAGACGATGGAGTCGATATGAGTGTTGTTGACCGGGGTGCCGGGCTGCATGCCAAAGCCTGCAGGGCTGACGTTGCACCACTCACCCCACTCCTCCCTGCTGTTGGAAACACGGCCTTGGTCAATGATGAAGCGAGACGGCAGACCCTCGGCTTCGAGATGAGGGGCAAGGGAGAGAGCGTAGTGGTTCTCGTCCCATGAGTTGCTCCACTCAGTGTAGTTGGCGCGCGGGTTGGCGTTGAAGGGGTTGTAGTTGGAGACGTTGGTCGAGAAGCCACGGATTCTGGTGTTGTTGCCGGCTTTGTGGACGACCTTGGCGAAGAGCTTGGCCGCTTTGAGGTTTTGTTAGCAATGGAATCCAAGGTGTGTAGATCAAGGTCAGTGACTTACAAGGTGCGAGGTTGTCGTCCCATCCAAGCCATCCTCCGTGAGCAGCATCGATGTAAAGGTGGACATTGTCATACTGCAAGCTGGAGATGGCGTCGGCGATACCCTCCTCATACACCGGTGCAGCCTTGGCACAGAACTCGACAGCCAAGTTCGTAACCAAGTTTGCCAGAGAATCAGGCTCGAGTACTACTGCGAATGTCAAGTCGCTCGCGGCAGCCAGCTTCTCGGCATACGGCTTGATGTATGTCTCCTTGTAGAGCTCCAATCCGTTCTCCTCACTACTGAACTCACCAGCGCTCTCCCCAGCGCTGCAGTCTCTATCAGGAAGATTGTACAACACCAAGCCAACAATTTGCTCCTCTCCTGTCTCCTTTTGAATGGCACGGGCTCTTTCAACGGCAGTGTCGATGTTGACCAGGCTGGCGGTGTTGGACACCCAGACAAAGGTGCCGATGTTCTGAATCGTGCGGACCTTGCCGGCATTCTCGCTGTCGCCCTTGGCTACGAATGCGTCATGGGTTTGCTCGAGTTTCTCCGCCCAATCGGGGTTGGCATAAAGCTTCTTGCCGGTAAAGGGATTTGTCGTGTCATTGGTGACGGAGCCCTGGCGACGGAAGTGGTGTCCCCTAACACCCCATCGAGGGGATGCCGAGACAGCGCCCAGCGCGGAGAGGAGAGTGAGAATTGAAGCGAAATGCATTTTCAACGAGACAAAAGACAATTCAACGAGCAGCGAAATTTTTATCTAGCACCGGGCTAAAAGGCTCATCACAGAGACGAAAGCATGACTATCAAGAAGCGCGACTGAGGTGGTTTTTATACCCTAAAGATTCCATGGCCGAGTCGCAATTGATGGCATTTCCTTCTAGTCACGGAGCCTCCATCACCATCTCAGGAACGGAACATAAGGCGCCTCATCACATTGCAACGATCTTGCACAGCCAAGAGGCTCTTGAAGAGACGTCTCCGTCCGAGAAGCCTCTTCAGGCCATGATCACCGCCCCACCAGATCCATGGCGCCAGACTTGGGGTAAGCTGGGGAAGGCCATTGTGAGAGATATATTGCTCGCAATGAACAGATTTCTGGTTCCGGCTGCCGTCCCGTGTTAGCGTCCGGAATCTGGTTCGCTAGAGCACAAATTGCCGCGCAAGGCCAAGAACCCCGATTGGAATATTCGGCTTCCGCTCCGAAACTCCAAATATGGGCCACGTGCCGAGCCGCTTGCTTATACAAATCTGGCCTCATGGGCAAATTGCGTGCTTGCCACTTTTGATTGGATTGACGTTCAGTGCAACGTTGGCAGTCAGCAAATCTGGAAGCGAGGTATTGAGACTGGCGTGCTTCGGGTGTCAGATTAATGAATCTCACAATTATCCAGCCGAGAGGTCTGACCCAGATGATCAGAAGATTTGCGAAGTTCTGCCGATCTACTCGCGAAAAGCAATGCCCCCGAGTGCACGTGAGAACCCTCGTGCCTTGAGGTGTCACCTAACAATCGTGGAGAAAGATGAGGTCTGTGATACTTTTAAAGTTCATGAATCTTTTGCTCCTTTGCCTTGCGTATTCACCAATTCTAAAACATGAGTTAATCGGTCTTGAACTACGGTAAAAAAAAAAAATCAAGCAAGTATTCGCCGAAGGCGGTGCTCAGCCTTTCTGATTTCCTTCGTTATCGTTAAGCCAACCAATTGTGTGACATCGGTCGCGAATGACTTCCTTAATGGCAACCTTAACTGCACGCACAGAGGCTCGGCAAAAGTCATCCAATGTCTCGATAAATATGCTCTTGCTCTCCCGGAACACATATATGAGGAATCCAGTCTCTGCTCAATTGTCTTATCTTGTGCGACGTTGATCCGTCGCCTCGGTAAACTTTCGCCCCTCACGATACATGGAAAAAGCCACCCCGGTCCCTCTTTTCCGATTTGTTTGCTGTTTACGGAAAGCATGTCATGCTTTTGACTTGCGCACGGAGTTTGACCATCTCAAAGTTCAACTACGGATGGTCCGGGGGAGTTCATGTTGGGATGGACTAGGAGAATGGACGGAGGCTCGCAGTCTACTCCGCGCCCGCATGCCCTAGGTGCAGCCACGAGGTTGGCTGGCCGTTGAGCCAATGCCGGTGCCCAAATTGAAAGCTACTTCAGATGATGCGCTAATCTAGAAGTTTTCCGGCAACGGTAGGCTTTTACGAATCTGCTGTGCGAAAAGTGCGCGTAAAGCTGGCGTATTGAAACCCTCACATTTGTCTACGGGCGGCGAATTCGATCAAATGAATGGCTGGATCTCGATTGATGTGACATTACACTGCAGGCCATGTAATCTCCCGAACGTCCTTGCAAGCTTCTGACCACCATAATCTGCTGGAGAGCACCAATGAGGGGCGCCATCGAATACCCCGCGAACGCGAATTCTCACCTGCAGCACTGCGGCACTGCTGTGGCGCTTGAAGGATTTTGGAGCTTTTTTGAAGATGTGCAAAACACTTGGTGAAAAAATGACGACGGAGGCACTTCAGCGAACGATGGATGTCATCAAACTTCAGATGACGTCGAGAGAGCGCGAACGCGCAAGACAGGCCGTTAAGACCGGATCCTTTGGAAAGCTAGCTGCACCGCCCCAAGACCTGTGCCGGATCCGAAGGCAACCGCGTCCGTAACGGCCATAAGAGTCTAAGGGTCGAACGTGAACTGCAAGAAAACGGGTCTTTGGTTGATAAACACGCCATGATCAGGGTCTAGCGCTTATTTGATCTGCCGTGCGGAGTGAGAATTTAGGCGACGCGAGTCTACTTTGGGCGCAAGCCACAGGAGCAACGGGCGGACTTTTGGAATGCTTGTCCTTGTCGCGGGCGGCTAGTTTCACCTTCGCTCGGCGACGTAACACGTCAAGCTTACGAGAGACACCGAGGCTTAAATCTATAGCGGATATTGGTGTAACTGGTGGAACGCGAGCGACCGGTGAGGGGGACAAGTCTCGATACTGCACGTTTGTTAAAAGGCGGCGGTTCGACGGTATCTTTCAAGATGGATGGTCTTTGGTCCACTTCCGCCTTTCACGCTTCGAGAATTTGGGCGTGGCTTCAAAACACTGACAACATGTTGTGGCAACTTTGGGCTCCCGTCGTCTTCGCGACGGCTGTGCTGGGGCTTTATCGACTATGGAAGAAACTCACCACGAGACTCAACTTCCCAATCGTGGGATCACCGGGTGATCAGAATATGGCATACGCAGTACTAGAAGGACACCAAAAGGTAACGCTTCCGACAGATCTTTCTAGTCGATTTTCAAGATGCTGATCGACGGTCGCTTCCAGTACCCGGATACTCCATTCATTGTCCCGGCAGATCCACCGTAAGTTGACATGCCCGAGACATGTAAGAAGCTTGGCTAACCAGAGATCACAAAGACGAGTCATCCTTCCAATGACTCTCTACCAAGAAGTCATTCACGCTGCTGAATCCGAGTTCTCCTTCGGTGCCGAGCTGTACGATGTCTTCCTTGGCAAATACACGCACATCGGAGTCGACAACCCCGACGTCATCGGCGCAGTGCGAGTCGATCTTACCAGGAATTTGAATGGGGTCTTGCAGCCCATTCAAGATGAGGTGCGCCACGGAATGGAGCAGCTCGTCGGCTCTTCGACCGAGTGGCAGACGTTCAACCTCAACAAGACGATTCTCCGAATGGTCGGCCTCATGAGTGGTCGGGTATTTGTTGGCTTGCCTCTAAGCCGTGACGAGGAATGGCTGGCAGCGTCAATCAACTTCACCGTCGACGTCGCGAAATCCCGTGTGGCAATGTTGAGGCTGCACCCCTTGATCCGACCGTTTTTCTTGGGCTTCTTACCCGAAGTCCAGCACATGCTCCGAGAGCAGAAGAGGGCGCAAGAGTGGATGAAGCCACTAGTATCAGACTTCGTTCAGAATGAGTTCAACCTAGAAGAGAAGGCGAAGCCTGGGTCGCGGGGCGCCTTCATCTCATGGATGATGAAGTACTTGCCACAAGAGAGACGAACTGCCGAGGCCGTCGGCAATAATCAGATGCTTCTATCATTTGCGGCGATACACACGACATCAAGCACAACCACTTTCGTGAGTATTGTGATGAAGTCTCGTAGAACTCAGTCCACTGACGATGAAGCAGGCGGTGATGGATCTTCTTGGCCATCCGGAATACATCCAGCCCCTTCGGGAGGAAATCCAACAAGTCATAGCCGAGGATGGATACCAGCAAGATGAAGCCGGAAAGAATTATCTTTCAAAGACGTCTCTCAATAAGCTCAAGAAACTGGACAGCTTTATCAAAGAGAGTCAGCGGTTGAGTCCCCTGAACTTTGGTAAGATGATAAATACGCCATACCGATATCAATGCCCATAACTAACCAATCTTATCGTAGGTGGTTCCGTGAGAAGAGTTCGGAAAGATTATACTTTCTCCAACGGCCTGAAGCTTCCTGCAGGAACCTCAGTCGCCTTCCCATTATGGGGTGTTTAGTAAGTCTTTACATCGGCTCCATCATTTACGACGATTACTTACACAGCTACAGTCAATCAGAAACAACACAGACATTTAGCCCCTCGTACAACAGCGAGACGAAGAACGCGCCACCCGCAGAATTTGATGGTTTCCGATTCTCGCGCCTTCGCGAGATTCCCGGTCGCGAAATGAAGCATCAAGCTGCCACCACAGGACCAGACGCGTTCAACTTTGGCCACGGCCCACATTCTTGCCCTGGCCGGTTCTTCGCTGTGTACATGATCAAGTGTATTCTCGTGGAACTGCTGATGGACTATGACATGCAGTTGAAGAGCACTGGAACAGGTCCGTTGCGGCCCGCAAATATTGTTAAGCAGACGCTTGTTATGCCTGATTCGAGGATTGATGTTGAAATCAAGAGGCGAGTTCAAGCCTAGAGATGGAGCTTGGGTAATGAACAAAGCAGTCGGTAATGCCATAGTAAATTGACAGTTAATATCGAATAATGAAGCTGCCGCGGATATGCATTGCGCAACATAGTAAATGAGGGGGTCTGAACGCAATGATGCTTACATCCGAGAGACACATCAAGATATCAAGCAAGATGAAGTGGTCGAAATGCTAGAGTCTTACCCTCTAAAAATGGCCGCTTCTGTCTTTTGATATCGTCACATAGGCAGGCGGTGGCCCACAATAACCTGTGATCGGTTGGGAGTTCTATATGTCCATGACGGCTATCAATGCCGAACCACATCTGGGCATATCCTTGGCACCTTGGCTTGCCCCTCGTGAGTGTATATATGCCCGGTTGGTTCACTACTTCTTTTGCTTTGCTCATGTGCCGCCGTTGGTACTTTTCCCAAGGTTACCTACCAACACTCGAGGAAAGTCAAAGTTTGTCGATTACGGCACCTCCATCTTCCACAAAGTTCTGAACAGAAGTACGAGCTAATCTTTTGCGACGTTCTTACGTTGTCATTGGGTTTTGAAGATCACACATTGATATTTAAAAGGAAATAAAGCCGCTCATGAAAGAGAAACGAGCCGTGCCTGCGCGAGGCGAAATCCCAGCGGCCAACCAGGACGGCACCATTCGACGAAGAGCAGTGGATAGTCAGTCGGAAATGCAGTCTTTCGTTCTGCTCCTTCGGAGATTTGTCAAAGATGTCGCTCCTCCTATCTGGGTATTTAAGGCCTTCAGTATCATCGTCGTCGTTTACTATGTGCCGTTTGTTTTGACGCGTTGCCTGGAAGTACTCGAAAGAGTGATAAGGAGCTACAAAGGCTAGCAGCGAAAGATTGAGAGGGAGGTAAAATAGAACCTCCTCAGCTTCACAGCACTTGTGCAGCTGACAAGAAGGCACTGAGAAAGCAATATAGATAGTCATCATCCATCACCTTAAAACATTGTCAGTCAGCAGATAGTACAATAATGGGGATCTTATACATCAAGGACCTGTACACGCTCGTTGGCTAGCAGGCTACGACCCATAGCTAAACCGGACGACAAAAGGCAAAAAGAAAGGCCAATCGCTGACGGGAATTGAGCCCGACGTGGGGGTCGAACCCACAACCTTGAGATTAAGAGTCTCACGCTCTACCGATTGAGCTAGCCGGGCAGATGCGAGCATCTGCTGGATTGCCTGACGTCGAGTGGTGGGAGTGGCATCATGTAGCCGTAGCCGCGCAATTTTTGGTGGCACGATGCGAAAATTTCGTGTGGCGTCTCCAGTTGATGCGAAGTGGATCAGCGTTGCAAGCCCAAACCATGTCTCCAAACCCTCGCGGGCTCGGCGGCGGGCCAGTCGGATGAGCGATCGACAGGGACCCATCGCAAAAGGTTCAGTCAAGTTCGGACGAGCAGGCCGACTGAACAGGTCTCCTTAAGCTTAAGAAGGGCTTCGGATGATGGCCAAGTCTCTCGAAAGGACTCAGGATCTTCGTCGCAGAGGGCGTGCGTCACACAAGTTTGTCAATTGTGCAGTCATGCGCCCATACGAAGCCAAGGGTCTTCTCCAAATCGGTCCCCTCATCTACCCCTTTCGCCGCACACGGAGCCTCTCGCTCCGCGTTCACGTCCCCGAAAGTCAAAGCCCCCTCCGTCATGCCCCGGCAGGAAATCTCCAAATCCCGGCAGACGCTGCTCGATGGGGGAAGCGGGTGGATGTGGAGACGCAAAAATAACCTCCGTCGCCCCCTGGAATCTTAATGATCTTCCCCTCCTGTGATTCCCCTTACGTCTCTTGGCCATATGGGCGAGATTGAGGGGGCCTGACAGGCTGTTTGAATTAGAATGGTCTCGGGCAGTTGGAATAAGGTATATATCCCACCGGCCGCACCCGTCTGTCTGGATCTGATCCAGACGGCTTGAGTTGCATCCGATCTTTTCATTCGCTTTTGTTTCTTTATTCCATCCCCGTGCTGATCTTCCGCGATAACCATGGCGAGATCCACGGCGCTTTCTCTGCGTGCCTTCCTCGCGTTTGCCGCTGGCGTGTATTCGCAGTCGTGCATTGGCACCGACGGGGCCAAGGTTTACGAGGCCGAGGACGGCGTCCTCTCCGGCACGACGGTTGACACTGCCCAAGCTGGCTTCACTGGTAAGTACCGAAAGCCTCATTCACAATTACCTGCACTGACTTCGGCTTCCATAGGCACCGGATACGTGACTAGTTTCGAAGACGACACCGACAAGCTCACCATCAACGTTGACTGCACCGGTGACGGCCAGAAGCTCTTCGATCTTAGCATCAGATACGCCGGCATTTATGGTGAGAAGCGCACCAATGTTGTCCTCAATGGCGGTGCTGCCAGTGAGGTTCTCCTGGCTGCTGGCGAGACGTGGGCGAATGTCTCTGCTGGTCAGGTCCTCCTGAACCAGGGCAACAACACAATTGACATCGTCAAGAACTGGGGATAGTAAGTTAGCTGACGCGATATGAGATGCTCTTAGACTGACCTAAGAAGCTACCTCATTGACTCCATCACCCTCACGCCCTCCGCCGCCCGCGGGCCCCACAACATCAACGAAGCCCTCGTCAACGCCAAGGCGAACACCGACGCCAACGCCCTGTACAAGTACCTCCGCTCCATCTACGGCAAGAACATCCTCTCCGGCCAGCAGGAACTCTCCTACTCCAACTGGGTCAACGAGCAGATTGGCAAGACCCCCGCCCTCGTCAGCGTCGACCTGATGGACTACTCCCCCAGTCGCGTCGAGCGCGGCACCGTCGGAACCGCCGTCGAGGAAGCCATCACCCACGCCGAGCGCGGCGGCATCGTCTCCGTCCTCTGGCACTGGAACGCGCCCACGGGTCTGTACGACACCGAGGAGAACAAGTGGTGGAGCGGTTTCTACACGCGCGCCACCGACTTCAACGTCGAGACTGCACTCGCCGACACCACTAACGCCAACTATACCCTCATCATCCGCGACATTGACGCCATTGCTGTGCAGTTGAAGAAGCTGCAGGATGCCGGCGTGCCGGTGCTCTGGCGCCCGCTGCACGAGGCCGAGGGCGCGTGGTTCTGGTGGGGTGCCAAGGGCCCTGAGGCGTGCAAGAAGCTGTACGCTTTGTTGTACGACCGCCTTACGAACCACCATGAGCTGAACAACCTTATCTGGGTCTGGAACTCGGTCGCGGAGGCCTGGTACCCCGGCGATGAGACTGTTGATATCCTCAGCGCTGATGTCTACGCCCAAGGCCACGGAGTAAGTGCCCCTAAGTCAGTTTTGTATGAATCCTGCTCACCATTATATCAGCCGATGACCACTCAATACAACGACCTCATCGCTCTCGGTGGCGACAAGAAGCTCATCGCCGCGACGGAGGTGGGCAGTGCTCCCTTCCCTGATCTCCTTCAGGCGTATGAGGCTCACTGGCTGTACTTCTGCGTCTGGAGTGATACCTTCATCAACAACGCCGAGTGGAACAGCGTCGCGGATCTGAAGACGGTAAGAAAAGCGCCCACGGTTCGATATTATCAAGAACTAACAGTCGATAGATCTACGAGAGCGAGTACGTGCTCACCTTGGATGAGATCCAGGGCTGGCGTGGCTGAAAAGCATCCTTCGGTGCCCAGGAACATATTTCACTGTAGATATTCAATTGAGACCATCTGTACATTGCTTGTCAAAATTTCCCACTATTTTCTTTGAACTTCGTGATGCGTCTGGTCTGCAGCCGGGTGAGGAAAGGTTCTTTGTCAGATACCTCGATGTGATGTGGATTGACCACCCCCTATCCCCACTCCATCCCCTGTCTTGCTTTTCTTTGTTCCGAACGTTTACATTGGCCAAGTCGGTGAAAGCTGCAACGCAACAAGACCCAGAAAAAAAAGTCTCTTCAATCGACGGCCTCAGCAATTCCAACTCTCGACACAATTTCAGAAAACCATAATCACCTCAGATGCAGACCCTTGACAGAGACTCTGCTGGTCTCGCCGCGGCCCATGAGGAGCTGGTTGAGATCGACCGGTCGCTCCGGCTCATTCTGAGGGGGCAACGGAACCTCCCAAGGACGAAAGAGCCTGGGCGATACATGGCACCCGATTACGCCGGCATAATGAAAGACGCCGCTTGAAGGCCCAGATCCCCGTGATCCGAGACTTGATCCGAGACTTGATCCGGCGTCGGCAAGACCTGTGGGCTGTCTACAACGACCGCGCCCGACCGTATCTATCGCACAAAGGTTTACCCGACCTCCCGCGAGAGGTGCTAGGCATTATCCTTTCCCAATACAATACAAACGGCCCAGATCGTGATTACACAGAGCCAGTCCCAAATCGCGGACGCGACATCGTTCAGGACATCCAGTCGATCCGGTTGAGTTGTCGTCAACTCAACGAGGAGGCATCTCGTCTTTTGGTGCCTCACGTGTCCATCGAGATGACGACCGATTCAATGGAGCATCTCGAAAAGATCATTGCTCACCCATTTATTGGACCTGGAGTTAAATGTCTTCGCCTCATTCTTCCATACTACCCCTCGGAAATGGCCGACAGCCGTGTGGTGTTCAAGCAGGTTCAAATTCGGCGTCAGATTCGCCTATGGGAAAGGACGTACCAGCCAGAATACTACGTTGAGCACCTGCATGCAAAGCTCGATAGGGCGTATGCTGTGTACAAAGAACTCCACAAGCAGCAAGAGGAGATGAAGCAGACCTTAGGGGAAAGTCTTGCACAGCTAATACGGAGGATGTCTGGAATAACGCAGTTGGAAATCTATGATGAGCCGGTGACGGGAGGCCTCAAGATCCTGGGCTGGAATGCATCTCAGTCTCCCACTTCAGGAAGGAAACTAGATACCTCTCTAGACTTCTACAAGGACGTTATAGATAACCTCACTGAGAGGTTCACAGTTCCTTTCTTGAAGTGGGAAGACCATGACTACCTGAAGGGCGACCACGTCCTTACAATGGAGGACGTCGGTTTCGTGCGCAAGCTTTTGGTCTACCTTGGGACGGCCGGAATCAAACTCACTCGACTTTCCATCAAGCCATCAGCGCCAAAGGACCTCTCAGGTTTCAAATGCGATGACGACGAGAAGACTGCTTTGCTTTGCAAGCCCTCGCGGAAAATCTCCAACACTTTCACTTTTCGACAGGAATCCAAAAGGAGAACAAGCTCCGGTCAGGCAAGGAGCTGACGGCAGTCAGTTCATTCATGAGCCCACTCAGTCGCATGCCGAACTTGCAAGTGCTAGCCGTAGACTTTGAGGGCATGGTGAAGGCCAGGGCACGGTGCACTCACTACAACCCGATTCTCTCACAAACACCTCAGAGGCCTCTGAAGAAGCTCGCCCTCCGCTACGTCAACATCAAGGGGCCTGCTTTTGAGAAGTTCCTCGCCAATTTGAATTCGTTGCTGGACCTGGTGATATACAAGTGCAAGATGGTCGACGGGACTTGGCGCAAGCTCATGGACACCATCAAGGAGTTGGCCGATCCGGCGAGACCGAGTGGCAAGCGTCTGAGGCTGCTTGAATTTACGTTCCCCTCTGGGGCCGAAGTCGACTCACTGGGAAGCAAGCATTTCGGGCACATTTTCGGTTGGGGAGGAGGTTCAGGCAGGCTTACAGGCAACGGCGAGGAAAGGTTGAGTCTCGCGCGTGCGTATGTCCTACACAAGTGCAACGTTGTGGAAAATCCTCTTAGCACCCCATCCATTGTTCAAATTTTGAATTCCAACTAGGCTCGAGTAAAATACTCCAGCAACATGAGGGATCAGGGACCTCGGAGACGGACATGCAGCCCTTGGGTCGGAGGCAAGGAAATATCGCCTAAGGCTTGGCAGCTGAGCAAGGCGGGGACTGACGGAAGACGTCATCTATAAATATCCCGATATTTTTCATCCCATATGAAGATTGTGCCAAGATCTGTATGACATCTAATCAATCAAAGAAAGGACCTGTCCTAGAGTTTCATATGGTCGGTACCGCGTGGATCCCTGTAACACTTCCCGACTGCCCACATAACGTAGATACTACGGCAGCGAGGAGAAGCGCAGAGGATGGAAAAAGGCGGGGAGGGAACATAATGCTAAGCTTTCTGACCAATAAGCTCCTCGGGGAAGACGGATGACCGATTATTTGAAACTCTCGGCTAGGGCTTAGTTTTACAGCAGTCAACGGCAGATTGGAAAGAATGCAAGTCCTGGGCGGTGATGCGTCTTGAATATGAGCCGGGGCAAGTTGGATGAAAATGATGGGTTGTTTTCCGTGCCCATCCACCAAACACTTCCTGCCTACGTCACTCTCTACTCAACTGGGACAATCTTTTACTTTCTAGTGATTGTTTCCCGAGGTCTGTAAACAAGTGGCTGTAAGAACTCATACTGGACTAAGCCGCAATGGTAGTAAAAAAAGATATGAAAAACTGCCATATTAAGGCTCATACCCGGTGGCGAAGCAGCTCCAATAAGGGGCCCCCGGGACTTCCTTTCCTTCTCCGGCTTAGATAATCCCGCCCGGAGCGGAGGAAGGCTATGCCAGTGCAGTCTTGCTGCAGGCCCATCCCATCGGTACCATCCGCCGCGTGTGCAGCGCACGCGTAGTCCGGTAGCGCAATCCTGATAATCTACGTCCCTTGCCGCTTACTACGCGGTCTCCTACATTCACCTCTAGCACAGATGAGGCTCAAAGAGCTGCATTGATGCAAAGATTGGGGGAGGAGAGCTCGGGTTCTCCGATGTGACATCGTGCTTTGATGATCATCTTGTTGACAGATCATTCCTGCCAACGAGAATGCGCTGTAGCATCCAAGCCCACCGAATACAATAGGGAACTTCCTGAACGGCGCAATGCATATTCATTGGAGTCGCTCCGCAACAGCCTTACAAGATGGCACGTATGAAGGGGTCCTGATGTTGATCTTCCACAGGCCGCCCAGAACGGCCGGTGTGACCGAGTGTTCGGAAAGGTGGGGGCGCGGCCTCGTCCCGGGACACTGATCCAAGTCCGGTGGACGGGCGGGCCCGTAGAAAAAGCTGCACAGATGCAGGAGCGGTCGATCCGCCCTACGGATGCCCGATAGCTATCGTCTGTGCTTTGCAGGGTGTGAGTGCGGTGATAGGGGTGGTCCAGACGGATGAGGAGGGTGTTCATCTCTTCTACGAAGCCCTCCTTACGAATAGCCTCGGTGCCCTTACGTGGATGCTTCTATGCGAAACTTTCCAATGATCCCCTTTTTCATGCCGTCCACCTCGAAGACCTACCAGCCTATATCACCACCCCCTTGCTAACGCCTTTTCGACTTCCGTGCGCGCGGTGCCACATCCAAAAAACAGATTCCCGGGTCCCCGTTTTTTCGCTGTGGACCCTCCGTCGGCTCCAGTTCATCCCACATCCCGAAAAACAAATCGACGTGTTGACGTATGTGCCATCTGGGATGTGCCCTCATTCTAGAACAAACGATAACGGCACTGCCGTTGTGCGTTGCAAGGTCAATACCTGTTTCCTGCCTTCATTTTTGCTTTTCGGGACCCAGCCCGCTGACAGCTTGGCGGAACGGCAAACACTGGACAGCGGAGGATAGCCGCGCTTTGCATGAAGAAGTTGTGATGATTGATTGAGCTGCTACGTACTACCGGTGGGGACTCAGCCTCAGTGGTCTGAGCCGCAGTATGGGATCATGGGACGGGGGGGATTGAGCGTTGTTGGTTGGAAAAGCTTTTTGTGCCAGGTTTTTTTCTTTTTGGTGGTGCGGGAACATCACGTTGTGGTGCGGATCTTCCGGACTGAGAATTGTTCGATATCGCCTCTCGTGGCTCATGATAAATAACCATCTTGCTTCCCACTTACAGATTTTCTGCTCTTCTTCTCACCACCAGCAAACGCACAGCAACACTAATACCAATACCGCTCACCTGAGTCCGTCGCTACTTCAACGCCTCACGCAACATCGTATAATCCTTTCCAACAAGCAACAACGAAACATCGCAATAATGCATCACATCGGAAGCCTCATCTTGGCCTTTGCCTCTCTCACCGCCGCGGTCCCGGGCCTTGCCCCTGCCAGCGTGAGGTCTGCCAAGTCAGCCCACGTCCGTCGTGACACCAGCTCCTTCCAGATCTACGCCTACGGCTCTGGCATTGGCGGTCTGGCTTTGTTCACTGCTGGAGGTAAGCATTCATCTCTCTGTTTCGAAACCCATTTTCCCTCAGATGGAGAGGGTCATCTCATCTTCGTCCCATCTCCTTTACCACACCATCTGCATTACCATCCGATCGTCTCGGTCTAGACCCTCACTGCCGAAGTTCCCCACCATACTAACGATTCTCTCCCCAGGTGATGCCTACTTCGGAGACTACACCCAGTTCAACGACTCCAACGCGGCCCCGGTGATCTGTAAGTCTGCGCCCGAAAAACATCCCCCACATCCCTTGACTTCGTAAATCCGAGTAGATTACTGATATCGCAACCAACAGTCACTCCCCAGACCGACGACGAGGAGACCTGGATCGGCGCGCCCAACACCACCGCCGTCACCACCACCCCCACCTGGTCCAACCTCACCTTCACCATCCCCAGCTCCGACTCCGACGTGCACAACGTCGCCTTCCTCGAGAGCAACTCCTCCTCCACCGGCCGCCAGACCAGCGGCTTCGCCTTCTACGGCAACTTCGTCCTCGTCGAGGCCGACGACGGCAGCTACGAGTCTCTGTGGTACGCTACCGCCACCGAGACCGACGGCATCTACAACCTGCGCTGGAACGAGACCGGCGACGACACCGATGACAAGATCATCCTCAACCTCAGGAGGACTGCTCCTTCCAACTAAGTTTTGTGAAGAGTCTTCATGAGAACTTGATTAGCCATGCCGTTGGCAAGGCTTTTCTCCCCTTTTCTTTGTCACTTGGGACTCGGTTCATGTACATAGTCAAAATATTGTTCTGGTTTTGGTTGAGCAGCGGCGCAAAAAGATGGGATGTCACGGTGCATGTAGATAGACTTTAGTGTGTCAATGAAAAATGCTCTGCGAGGGGCCTCAAGTGCGGTAAAACATAATTGCCTTCGACTGTGATTCTGAGTTGTTCATCACGCAAAGTTGTGCCTATGTTGATGACCAACCACTGACTGAAAAACGACAAGAAATAACGCAAATGACTGAGATGAGCCATATAAACTCCCGATACCTCGTCGTACGTTGAAAATGACTGCAGCTCGCCGGCTTTTTCCGTTCTCAGGTGAAAAAAGAAAACTCACATGCATTTTCACGTTGTTTTCCACGCTTCCCCACCAGACTGCGAGTTGCCTCCCCCCGTCTCGTCACCGCCGAGTCGGCGCCGACATTGCATTGCGTCTTTGCCGCGCGCGTTCATTTACCACGCGGTCCGCGGAGTGGAGGACGGTGGACCCCGTTTTCACAGCCCGTGCTGGCACCGCCCCCCTTCCCCGGATTTGCATGTTTGATTCGTCCGATGCAGATCCGCAATTAAATTCTCCTACGTTATCAATCACATCGAGGGCTGCTCACATGTTTTTGGTGACCTTGGTGGGGAGCTGTGGGTGTTCAAGTGATTGAATTTGGCGTTGAGTAACCAAACAAATCTTTGTCTACATCAGAAAATCATGTCCCATGGCAAATCACCAGGCGAGGTCGTCCGCGAGATGATGGATGGGTGGAAGCGGAGGCGTCCCAATGACCATGGGAACGGGATTCTTCGACCTCAGCCCTCTCAAATATGACAGGGCCGGTGTGAGCGGTGCCTTGTCATTAAGCCTGACCCGGCTGCCGAATATGCGTTCAATGTCGCGCTTCAGGAAGTCGATGATCTCACCCCCATACGGGGCAAAAAGGGCCTCGACAAAGACCGTGCCGCATACGCCGCCCCCTTTCCTGGGCCGAGCAGGGTCTGCTTTCGCCCGCAGCATGTCGAGCATTTCGCGCCAAGTATCCTCATCTTCTTCGTCAATAAAGACGCTTTCCAGCCGCACAATCATATCCGTGGATCGCTCCCCGATCAGCTCCTCAAGGAGACTTGAAGTGAGGGTGACATTGTCAAGCTCCAAACGTTCGAGTCTCGGCCATGGCTGGGACTTGATGAGAGAGGCCAGAAGTGGCCACCGCCTGAGATCTCCCCATTCATCCAACATGTGATTTCCAAAAGCGCCCGCTCCGATGCGAAGCTTTTCTAAGCTTGGAGTTGACGATATGGCTGCCAAATATGCCGCTATAGGCTCTAGATGTGCCTGGCCTGCTGGCCAGTGGGCAGGTGTGACGGAGACGTCGTCGTCTCTGGATTTCATGGTGAATTCCAGAGCCCTGACGTTATGAGCAAGAAGAGCAAGTTTATTTGCCTGCTCTTCAGCCGGCTGCATCATAGACCATTGAATTATCCGAGGGGGAGTGACCGTAATAGCAAGCCTCGTCAGCTGGACGCCTGCCTCGGAGAGTGCAACCGGAAGCTGTAAAAAACACCGACAGGAGCTCCTGCCCACTGTTCCGAGCAGGTGTTCGAAATTTCCCAACGGATTGGAGAAGTCATGAGTCGATAAAGTCCCGTTGTCTCATCTAGAGTGACATGTTGGATCACCTTGTCATAATGGTCTTTCCAGTCAGGGTCGACATCCACGTCCGAAATCTCCAGTCTTGTGGCATTAGGCATCCGAGCCATTGCAGCGGAGATCTCTCTCAGAAAGACCGAATCGACGCCGTTCCTGTGATCTTTGCGGATTCGTTGCTCTTCATCATAGAGTTGTTTATACTGCACATGAGCTGCGCGCAGTAATCGCTTGAAAGACGTTTTGAGGCTAGCGAAAGGGTCTCGTCCTCGCTTGACCTCCCGCGTGGCGATGGCCTCTTTGTCCAGCCGTTTGAGCAGAGTCATCGTATGATCCGAGACCCTATGGTCTTCAGCTTCTTCTATATCCGCTTTCTCGTTGGCGAGTCCGAAGCGTTCATGTATTCGTTCGCATTGCCATTTCTCGAACCCGGCGAAGTTGTTCAGGTTCGCCAGAGCTTTGGCATAGAAAGCCAAGTTGACTCTCACGCAGCGAACGGTATGAGAGAAGACTGGGTGATGCGAAATCTCGACGAGTCTGGCCAGAGACTGTGGCATCATTCTGACGATGACCGAGCGGATGAGAAAGCGATCGGCCAGATTGCGCATGCGGCGGCTGGTGAGGCGGAGAGATTTGATAGACTCGACGTCTCGGCTTCGGTTATGCTCACCGGATGAGACAAAATTGTCACCGTCGAGACCAATGTTTGAAGTGCCGTTCGTTACTCGACTCATGATGTCCATCAATAACTCAGTGGGGAGTTCCGTAATGCGGTCTTTGCGCATGCGAGCGATTGCGCTCCGGGCTGTGGCCAAACGACGTTCGAGTCTCGTACCGAGAAAACCGAGAATCTTCCGCGCCTTCTGATTCTCGAGAAAATTGGGGTCTCTACTGGTTCTAACGACGTCTTTGAGGAGCGCACCGGCTTCCACGATCTCTCGGTCGAGGATGAGTGGGTCACTGTACGGAATACTCGACTCCCTGAGTCTCTCGTCCAGCTTCGCCAGAGCGGCTGCGAGCTCAGCGGGCTCTCGCAGCTGGGCGTCAGGTTGTGTCAGGAAGTCCAGCGACATCTTGGAGCTAGGCGGCACCGCCCTGGAGTCGGTGGTGGATGCTGTCATTGGGGATGTCAAGGGATCGTGGATGTCGAAGTTGGGAAGCATGTCGGTGGGGTTACGCGCATCCCGGGCGAGGTGGACGCGTCAAGGGCGCTAATCCCTGAAAGTGTCTCGTCCTGCTATGTCGTAACGAGCCAGGGATTGGTAGATCACGTTGGAGCAAGGGTATGTGCAGCAAATACAATATTTCTCCGTACGGCCTGATTCTGAACCTGAGGATTGTTTTAACAATGGCGAGTTTTTGATATCATACTTGACTTGACAACAAATTGAGGCTATCGGCCAAAACTGCGCACAGATCGACCTCAATGGCTCAGCAATCCCAACGCTAGATAACAAAACACTAATTTCCCTGGCAGACTGATGCAGAACCTAGATTTTGCAATTTCAACAACTTTTTGAAGACATCCCAATTTCAGTGCCACATCCAACATGTGAACCGTCACATCCTCTCGCAAAAGCCTCTACCTATTCCTTATCGGTATGTCTGAAATTACGTGGGCAGTTGGTAGCTGTAGTCCCTCCACTTCCTTTTGCCCTTTCGTCTACGCTCTGAGCTTTCATTCGGTAAGAGATTATCCTCAACCAGCTTCTGCCAATCTGGCAGAGGTGGCCTGATCTCCCAAATGACGTTGGAGAAATCCGTCGTCCACCTCGCATCAGCCCATTCCTTGACCGTATTAATTGACCATGCTTCGCCGACGTCAAAGTTGCATTTTATTATCGATCGCTTCGCCGTAACGTCCCGCAATATGCACGGGAACTTCGTGAACATCAGACCTGGAAACATTCGAGTATTTGCTTCCCGCATGATGTCACGCTGACCCTGGAATTTGGTCCACGCATCCTGCCACGAGGCACCACGTTGAACCACCGACTCGAACAACTGAGTAGCTTGCAGGGGTGACGAAGTGGCATCAAAGACGAGTGTGAACGATGCTTCTGGCATGCCGGCTGCGGACAGAGACGAGGCTTCCACCATCCACTGCGAGACATTCCAAATAATCCGACATGAGTTCAAAGGCTCGCGTCTAGCAATGGTTCTACTCGCTCCACGATTCTCTCTCGTATTGTGTGGGTCATACTGCAAGACGTTTCGCCACAGATCAACTCGACGTACGATGCGAAGGGCATCGTTCTCCCTACAAAACGGAATAAGACCTTCTGCATGACTTTCCGGACAGGCAACCGATTCCCTATCCTCGATCAAAATGATATTTCGTATCTGCATGCGGCTCTTGACAGGCAATCGACTCAGAAATAGTATGGCTGCGCTCGCTGCCGAGAAACGATAGTTGAAGCGGTCGGCACTGTATCGTCTGGGCATTGGTACCTGTCTCAACGTTTCAAACCAAGTCCCTAGTATTCGAAGCCAACCCTGCAGGCATGTAATCTCTTCATTTGTTGAGTATTCACACGGTTGCAACTCGCGCCGCGCAAGATCATGAGGAGTCGGTGCATCGCCGCTTCTGGATGCAACAAATCTATTGGCCCATGTTCGGTATTGATCCATTATTGGGATACTATCGGGGCACTTCTGCAACAATGACTGGAGCAGCTTTTTGCAGAAACTGTGGTAAAGAGATGGAGTCTCGCCATACAATATTCCATCAGGGAAAGACAACCGAATTCGCCACGGGTCCCAGTCACCAGCTCTTATAGCATCCAGTAGCGGGATGAACTGGGGATATGTGATGCTGAATTCTGCATGAACTTGGTCAGTCATCGCAGGACCTGCAAGTGCACATAATCCTTCCCGGATCTTTTGAAGTTCTCGAATTGTAAAGTCCAGCCGCGCCGCCAGGCGGCGCAGGTGCGTCGAGGACATGGTAGCAAATGAAACTGTGTTCAATCGAAAAGCCATGCCGTTGATCTCGGCGTTCACCTGCCTGCAGGTGAACATCAGAGTCATGTGAATGGGGCCACCGTCAGCCCGGCGTAAGCGAACGGCAAGACTGTCGGCTGGGCAAACATATCCGCCCTCGACGAATGAATAATGCTTGTAGACTTCGTGTCGTAATTCGGGCGGGAGAGATAGGAAGCGGAACGGTGATGGCATTGCTTTTTCCTCCTAATAGTATGCAGGGGAGGTTGTGCAGAGCTGCCGAAGTGTTTTGAAGAGAGGCGGAAGATGTGCGGCGGTGAAGTATGATGAGTTTGGGAAGGCCACAATGGCTATTTGTAGTGATCTTGAAAGTGGAGAATAAGATTTGAATGGACCATGCACCTGTGCGGTACCTTTGGTAGAAGATGATACTTGATAGCTTGGGGCATCAAGGTTCACGATGAGGCCAATTTACGCTAAGCACACACTTGACGCCATTCCATGTGGCACACGCCATTAATTGCAGAATGACAATCTTGAGGCGGCGAAACTCTACGGATGTGCGGGGTGTAAAATTTACCTGCCTGATGTGCTTCAAGGTGTCGAAGTCATTTCCGGGATAATTCCAGACTTCCTGAGGAACAACGCATACTCTTCAAAGACTTTCAGCCGAACATGAGCAGAACTTCATAGAGAGTATACACGGCGATAAATACTAGACGACGAGGAGGACTTGACATCTTAGGAATGAGTGAGGATCACACAATGAGCAGGGTCACACAACGTGACATAGTGCCACTGGCTGACTTATTGGGTTCACAATAAATTGGTGTCATCAAATATTAAACATTTCGAATTAAAAGAAAGCCTCAGATACATCATTTGGAAACCAACTTGTACACGTTTTCCAACTCAGCCCTTCAGGCCCTCCAACATACAAATGTCTAGAGAAGAGCAAGCGCAGCCAGACCGCAAGCACCCAAAGCAGTGGCAACATTGACAAATGACACGCGCTCAGCTCCAGCGACAACCACGTGGGACGGCAAAGCCATACCGGTGCCAGTAGGCTGGGCGACTCCAGGGGCGGAGGCAGAGCAAGCGGTGGGGGTGACCAGAGAACCGTCGGGTCCGAAGGGGCTGTATCCCAAGCAGCCGGCGTAATTGGCAGCGCAGGTGGAGCGGTTGGCGTTAGGGTCGCTGCGGCACTGGTCATAGACCATGGCGCACTTCTGAGCACACTCGTTGCCAGCCGGAGCAGTGGGCGCCGCGCCAGTCGGGGCGGGAGCCGGGGTCGTAACGGCAGCGGAGCAGGCAGTCGGGGTGACAAGCGATCCGTCGGAGCCGAAGGGGCTGTAGCCCAGGCATCCAGCATACTCGGCGGCGCAGCTTGCGCGGTTGGCGTCAGGGGCGCCGCGGCACTTGTCGTATGAGACGGCGCAGGCGGCGGGGCATTCGGCGCCGGCCGGGACAGTGGGGGCGGGAGCCGGGGCTGTGGCGGCACCGGAGCAGGCGGTGGGGGTCACGAGGGAGCCTTCCGGGCCAAAGGGGCTGTAGCCGAGGCAGCCGGCGTACTCAGCGGCGCAAGACGCGCGGTTGGCGTCCGGAGCACCGCGGCACTTGTCGTAGGAGGCGGCGCAAGCGGCAGGGCAAGGGGCGACCTCGATGGGACTGGGGAGAGGAACCGGTGTGGCGGAAATTTGGGCCGAGCAGGCGGTCGGCGTGATCAAAGACCCATCAGGACCGAACGGGCTGTATCCCAAGCAGCCGGCGTACTCGGCGGCGCACGAGGCACGGTTGGCGTCGGGGGCGCCGCGGCACGTGTTGTAGGCGTTGCCGCAGTTGGTCGCGCACTCGGAGGTCGCGGCTCCGGTCGGGACCGGGCCCATGTGGGTGATGGTGCAGGGGCAGTCGGTGATGGTGAAGGTAGTGGCCTCCTCAATGGTGTAAGTCTTGGGGCCGTGGGTGATGACCGTGGGACCAGGGCAATAGGTAGTGAGGGCGTTGACGACCTGGGTGACATAGACGGCGTCGGCCATCGGAGAGCCGTTGGCGAGCTGAGCGGCGCCCAGGACGAGGCCGACCAGGAGAGAGCCCATGGTAGAAGTCATTTTGTTTGGGGGTCGTTTTGAAAACGAATGTGAGGTCGAAGATGGAAAAAGAGTGGATGAGTTGCGATGCAATCGAGATGTCTTGTGGAAATGCAACTGGGTGCGAATTCGATCCCTTCTTTATAGGCTCCTTCTCGGAGGCAACTCCGTCGATCGACTAGTAGTACAGCTAACATGTGTGTTTGAGCAAGCGAAGTGGTACGAAATTTCGCTGCATTCTACTCATAACCATCGCGTTCCAGAATTGTTTATCGTGTCCCTCGCGCCTCGTATCATCGTAGGAGCAATTTAGCTCAGCCGCGTCTCGTATTCCCACGGGCACCATACTCGAAAAAGTCGACGGCGGCTCGACCATCACTGCTCTAAAAACCAACCCTAAACGCTAAAATGTCTCTGGGGGAGATTCTAGTCGGGACCGCGCCCCAGCCGTTAAGATTAACGACGTCATTGTCGTGTGCCTAGCCCCAGAACTCGTCTCGAGCCGGAATGCTATCCCCTAAAAAGTGAGGGCCTGTGTTCATAATGCGCGAAACATGCTAAGTCGGATCTCGGCGGGTGTAAATCGCGGGGAAAAGAGTCAGGGGAGGGAATGTCTCAATCTACTTGCATGGCATGTCTCGCCAGCGACAAAAGGGGCAGATTGAACGGTCTCTGTACAGCGTGCTAGCGGAATTCCGCTGCACTAAACGGGGAATTTAGACTTGGCTCTCAGGCAGAGGAGGCGGCCCGATTGAGCGGCTTTTCCTCCGGTGCCCTTTGAACTTCTCTCCCTTGTTCTCAACCGGAGTGGATGCCGAAGGCCTTTCAACCAGTCAGACGTGAGACGTCCATCAAGGCAATTCTGGATGAATTCCAATCGTCGGTGCTCACAAATACCATGATCTGACACTGGATGGACTCCAGAAATTGGTGTGGACGGCTATATCATAGCAAGGCATCCTGAAATCTCAGTGTTGCATCAAGCCCGCCTGCAGAATTCAAAAAGTTGAATTTGATCCTGGATGTCAACATCATTACCAAGACGGGACGGCAATGCAAGGTGTGGCAACAACTTGGAATTTCTGTCATATCAGATACGTTCTTGATTACAGTTTTCCCAGAAGACTTGGTCAGTTCACTTGGCGCACACTCACCCCAGCCGAAGACTTCTCAAGCAACGGCACCGAGGCTACAAAGTTGCTCGTTGTGTCACTAGTCGACGTATTCTCTAATACGCATCTCAATACCCTTGGTCTTTTGTACTCATTGAGAAAGTTACAATCTCAAGAAGCTGATTGTTTGCGACTTTCACAGAATCCGGATGGGATTAAAAGATGAAGTTGGGCAGGTATTCTTTGCAAGGCAATGACACCATGTCCGACCGATACGTTGATGTTGCGCAGGATAAGTTAAGTAACTAGTCACGATAACACATCATTTTGACTTGTGATTTGACAACGCGAATCACGTGCAAGTCAGTTTAATATGCGTCTGATGGTAACTCTGCCGCGCAGAGATTGAAACTATTGCTTGAGGCCGTCTAATATACACGGCCTTCTCCTCTGGTGAGGCGCATCAAATGAATTTCTTGGGGAGCTAGGGCCTCCCGTCTCTTATTATTTAAGTTCTGAACTTTCTTTTTCTACAACAGTATTTCTTCCGTCATGGCCGTAGACTAAGCATTCTTTGCCACCTTCGAAAATCTGCTTGACACAAACTTGGACGTGACATCGCGCATATAGTCAAGATCTTGCCCAGCCGCACCCTAGTGATGTACAATTCATTACAGTCGTATGATGCAGGTGATTCGTGGGCTCTCGCAATAAAGTCGCATTACATAGACATATGAGGTATATGGAATCAAGCGGCACACGGTTGACTATGAATTGACTGGCAACCTGGACCCTCATCCATATGTACCTACGCATGTTGGGTCCAAACGCTCACCTATAGCCTTGTTGCTCCTTGTCAGCAGATGGAAAGTAGTTTGAATAACCTACGTCTACGCTTCGGTGGTAATATGTTCGGTTGCTGAGCTGACTGCCACACAGCTCGCCACGCCGGACAAGCCCGGTGTTCCACCGGTAACTCGGCAAACATGCTTTCAAGTAGATTGCCTGTTTTATGTTTCCCGTCACCGAGTGGGACGAAGCGCCCTTCTCGTGGGATTTTGTTCGCCTTACGTGCCGCCGAAGGCCGCAACAATCTGGTCCAAATTCCTGTGCGCGGATATCGTGTCGTCAAGATCCACCAATCAACTCCAGCTCCTCCCTGGCGGTGTTGGACAAAAGGGCGGAAGCACCCATGCAGTTAGTTGCGGGGACACTGGCCCCGTTTGGTTGCGTAGGGCATCAAAAGAACGCTGGTGACTTGTTTGAGCCTCAATAAAGTTCGGCGTGTACGATCGATGCCATTGGCTGGGATCAGGGCCAAGTCAAGAATCCATCGGCTGCCCCAATTGTATGCCTTCCTGGATGATCCTCATTTTCATTTCTCCGTCCCTTCTGGGCACGGTCACGGGTACCCTCGGGAAACCTCGCACACACCGAGTGACACCTAAGCTTGCGTTCAGGATATACAAGGCCTGAGTCATGCGGAGCGTTCCATAAACTGTTCTAGAACTGGGCCTGGCCAACGTACCTTCACTCGTATAAGTCAGGACCTAGATACTCTTGGTATGGAGATATCGGGTGCGCAGAGTCAGGTGTCCTTCACCTTGCCTATGTCAACATAACCCTCCGAAGATCGTCAGCCTCCATCGGACCATGCCGACATGATGAATTCTGGGAATGAGGCAGGGTAGGATATCCGACTCACCAATAAAGTCCAGACTCCAATATTCACTTGCAGGCCCCAAGTACCACGTCAACAAACGTTCAGGGTGGTATCGTAGACATGATGTTTCCTATGATGGCTTGTTGTTGCTGTCGGGGGAATCATTGAAGGCGTAGCCATTTGGCCCCACACGACTTGACAACTCGATTCATAACAAAGTATTTCTGCGCTGCTTGTGTATTGTCGGTGTCAATAGTTACCCTCTTTTTGACACGAGCCATTCGCTGCCAACTCCGCCAGGGACCTTCATTTTTGAAGGTTCGACAGCAGTGATTGGTATCTTTGGGCACCATTCATCCTTTGTACTTATTGTCTTGATCCTGAGGCCGATGCTCTTCGACTTTTTTACTGGGTGCCATTCCCCTTGCTGCATTCACTGCAGGGTCGAGTCAGGCCGCGGCCCACCAGTCACTCTGGGCTACGGTGCTGCATGACGTCACTGTTCGAAACGGTCGTTGAATTACTGGTGTTCTCGATCTTACGCAGATGTCATACATCACTCGGCCTCCGAGTTTCGATGGTAAGTCTTTTCTGATAGTTACACACACACATACGTCGATAGACCATGGTCTTGAGAGATCGCTCTTGTCTGTCCGATCTTTGCTGGCTTTAACCCTATACAGCTTTTGTGATCGCGATTCAAAGTTGATGGCCTGTGTCATCCACTTATTTACTCCGTTATTTTCGCTACGATATGTAGGTGGTCGATTGCTTTGATGAATACGTTCAAGTCTGGGGATGTCTGTAGCATGTTAAGACAATAAATAGTCCCAAAGACTGCTTTTCCAAGACTTCTTGGTTGAGCCAGCTGTCTTTTTGCGGGTTGGGTGCTATTGGTACGTGCAAGAACCTGTCTTCTCAAAGCGAAGCTTTCTCGGTCCGACTGCCAGCCTACGTGACCCTCGTCATCATGTCAAATCGTTGTTCTCATATCAGCACAAGATCGGCCAGTTGCCCAGCAACCGAAAGGATTTCTACCTCTGTGCTGGCAATGAGGAGACATTTCAACGTCGAAGAGTGAAATACTCACTACTTGGTGAAAATAACGGGCCACGCGAACACTGCATTAGTTCACCGGGAGACTATGCCCATCCAGTGACGAAGGTTGGGTATTCACCACCAAGTTCGTTTCCTTCCTAACACTCTATAGTCTAAGCATCAGCATGCCGGACATGGGTTATCCAAAACTTGGCTTTACGCAATTTCTGATTGGATCAATCTTGATTCACCGATACTTCGTACTCCTCCCACTGGTCTGGTGCACAGGCTGCTAAAGTTGAATTGATGAGGAAATGCCAGGTCACGGGCAAGCGTGTCGGGTGATGATTCGACGGTGAAGACATCAGAGATACTGTAAGCGTCAAACGTCAGCAAATGCCATTGCATTGGATGACGACCGACTTTGCTAGATCCTCTGTCATCAGGTCAAAAACAGACCCTGCGTTCTCCATTCATTTGGGTTTCCAGCCTTATTTCAACTCCAACATTCGGGAGACTGCTGCGCGGTCGGGAGCTTTATCATTGTTGAGATCTCTGCCTCGCTGCACCCTGGTGATCGACGAATGCAGCATGAGTGGGGCCACTCCGAGGTATTGTGCCACATCCCCAGGCCATATGCCGAAGCGCTTTTCCGCTCCATGTACGTGTATGTGGCAGCAAATCCACTTACGACAGGTTGTTGGTCAGCTGAACTTCTGGAAGAGTAGCGGTATCTGGCAAACCCCTGTCCGCTTGTTCAGTCTTGGGCACCACCTCAAGCCTATTCAGGAAGGCCACGGAATCCAATACCGAAAAAAACGACGCGTGCATACATACGCAGCGGCGGTCGCCCACCCAACCCAAGGATACCCAGCTATCCACACTAACGTTCCCAATCAAGATGCGGCCGTTTTGAAATCCATAGAAATTCGAGAATCCTCGGGAAAATTGCTCAAGGTGTTCTCACAGATACGTAAGGTCAGGGGGTTACAGATAGACAGGGCAAGGTACGGTTAGGGCTAAGGATCACGGTGATTCTAGCCGCTTGTGATTCTGAGATGTACACGTGTTTGTGTTTTTCTGTCAGACATGGGGCCACCGAGTACCGAACAGGGGGACGCCGAATACCGCTACTCCTGATGGATCGTTGGCTGCAGCTCGTGACGGCCACGCGACCGAACCAGCCAGGCGCAGACCAATCAGTCAGACCACCGTTCGCGTTGTGGGGTTTGAAGCACCCCAGAGCCGTGTTGAAGAATCCAAGCGAGAGGCTCCTTGTGCCATGGTGTCCTGGACTATTTATGCAGATGAGAAGTGGAGCCGAAAAGATTGCGAACCTCGCTCAGACTGTTGGGAGCCCACCAAGTGGACGATTGGTTATCAATGAGGGCGAAAGGGGGTTGTCTTGGGTCACGAACACAGCACAAGCGCAGGAAATGAACAGGCCGGTCCTGGGATTATGAATCGCCAGGATTCTAGAAACGCTGCAGGACCGTTGAAGACGGGGCAGAAACACCAATCATGTCGCGCAATCAGTGGGTACGGACGGCTTCTCCTTTGACCCCCTGTCATTCGAAAACTCAATTTCAAGCGAGGTTGGCAGCCGATGGCGCACCCCAGAACCCAATGGCCGACCAGCCGGGTCCGCTTTCGCTCATTCTTGGTATAAACGCCGGCACTTCGTTCTGGTGTTGCTTTTCAGGGGGATTCCTGCCTTCTTTGTCCGTCTTGTTGGAAAAGAAGGACCATGGGAATTCCGTACAGGCGTCTGGATTCGTCTAGGCGCGAGATTCGCCTGCTCGAAATCCAGGCGACGCACAATCCCAACGATCCGGTTCAGGCCCGTCTTGTCCATGTTCGTCTGACTGACGATTTGGAGTTCATCGCCCTCTCGTCGCTGTACGGCGACTCCACCGAGACAGACAAAATCTTCGTTGGCGGCCAGCCCGTCACCCTCACCGCCCATCTCACCCAGGCGCTCAAGAATGTGCGCACCGTTCTCTACCCGACACTTACGCAGCGCTTTCAATGCACATCGCCGCGCCGGCCGCAGTCGGGCGCGCCGCGATGGCTGAGGCAGCTGTTCGGCCTGGGCTCGTCCTCCAAGGGGGCGGACGACGCGAACTGGGCGCTGCGCATCTGGTGCGACTTTCTGTGCGTGAACCCCCGCGACGAGTATGAGAAGTCGCGCGTCCACGCAGACATGAAGACGATCTACAAGGCCGCGGCGTTGGTCGTCGGCTGGGTAGGTGAGGCGGTGGAGCACACAGACGCGGGTCTCGCGATGGTTGCAGAAATCGACGAAGTCATGCCGCGTACGTGGGGAGACCCGGGCGACGCAGAGAAGAACCCTCACAACTACTCGCCACAACACGAATGGATCAAGAAGATTGCCTGGATTTGGACGCCGCCGACCGACGGCTCGGACCCGGACAAGGCGCCTCACTGGGTCGGCGCCACGGACTTTGTCCTCCGTCAGTATTTCCAGCGCCGCTGGATCCTCGAAGAAATTTCCTCAGCCCGTTTCCCGACATTTTTAGTCGGCGACATCATTGTCACGTGGAAGCAGATGCTTCGCCTGAACCGTCTGATTGACGAATTCAGATACAAGCCATCCAACGTGTTCCCCCTGGTAAGTTTGCATCTCATATACCCTGGCATAATAGCTGCGTTGTACTAACTTATGCCCCAGGAATTGAGAGACAAGATGGCAGAGCTGCCTTTGGAGACCACGTACAAGCTGCTTGACGAGTACGACAAGCGCAAGACGTTGGAGGAATCCAAGATTCTTAAGGATTATGCCGAGAGCAGCAGGACGACCTCCTCATCGAGGTCCACGGATGACGGCCCCAAAAAATGATTTCACCGATTAAATGAGAAGTAAAAAGGCACAGGGAGGAGGGGTTCATGCAGCATCCAACACGTCTTATGTGTCCGCGTACTTCATCTGATGGTCACTGGCAGGGGTTTAAAATGGCTCAGACTTTGTTTGTGTTGGATGTGGAAGGGTTCCGCCCGCGGGTGGTGTTGACAGCTGGAGGGTGCACAACCTACTGTCTGAGCCATATGGCATTTTTGTGTTTAGATTCGTTTTTGTTACTTTGACTAGGTTAGATATCCATTTCTTTCTGATCGGTGTGACCCAGGTCTGCATATGTCCCTCATTTAAATGTGCTGGTGTGGCAACGTTAGATCGTCCCTCATTGCGACCGGCGAAGGATTTAGGAATTCTTTTACTTGTTCAAAATAATGTTCCACTTTAGCTTTGTTTGCAATAAACATTGCATCCAGCAGCTTCCTTGCTCATAGAGAGTTCATCCCATCTTCAATTCTTATGAACCTTCTCACCAGCCACAACTGGCAGGCTGATGACAAATTTGGGACAGACTCACGTGACTGCTTTTGTTCAGACAAATCAGCTTCCGTCGTTTCTTTCGAAATCTCGGCGAAGCGCTCCTGAGATTGCACAGTCAATGCCACCGCGAAGCCAACATCAGCACACCCGTCCCCTGATGAGACAGTCTTGTCGTCAGAATGTCTCCCACGCGAGAAGCAAGTAGTCCACGATCAAGTGGACGGCCTGCGAAACGGGCCCGGACGCAGCAAATTGCATCGACGCGCAGTCGGCGGCCTTTGCCGCCAACGGAGCCCACGACCAGTGAGGAAGTCCACCTTGAAGCTGCAAACACGATCACTGTAGCAGTAGGCTCGGATACACAGGCGTTGCCCCCTTTGGCACGTTATAAAGCCTGGAAAAGTGCGTTTGAGAACCTCGTCTGCAGGCGCGCTGAGCATTTGACTGACTGCACGAAGAATCTGGGGGCCAGCATGATGCTTTTTGTTTCGTATGCCAGGAGCCTGATAATCTGGTTCCCTGCGACACGTGCCGAAGGTCATATCACGATGCACATAAACCCCCAAAGAGCTCTCAAGCGCTTCACGGAGACGACAGCCTTTGGTACTGTCCCGTGTGCGTTGATCGTGGTTGGCATAGCAACCCTCCCATTATAACTCCCCCAAGCTCTCCTCAGCGCATAGAAGTCTCTCAAGTAGCTGAAGGTATCTCAGAAGCAACACAGCATTCGACGAGTGTAGATCCAAGTCCCGCGCTCCCCGAACCACCCGTGATGCCTACCAGACTGGTCTCGGCAGAGCAACCCGAAAACAGAGCAGCCCGATCACGAAATCCACCAGTCAGGAAATCACGCTTCACTACCTTGCCCGCCGAGGTCGACTCAGCGCTAGCAGTCGTCTACCGTGAGCTCGAAAGCGTGCCCATTCTACAGACCAAGGTTTCTGAGCTAGAGGCCGACACGAAGCGGTTGCAGCAGGTAATCAGCATGCAGCGGAATGAGATGACTATGATGCAGACGGCAGTGAATAAGACCGGAAGCCTGCAGGCTGAGCTACAGAAACTGAGGGCAGAGGCTGCAGAGAGGGACGCGGAGCAGAGTGAGAAGGGGGAACTGGAGCGCAAGAATCGGGAACTTGAGGCAGAACTAGGGAAAGCCAAGGATGAGCTGGAGGATCGGAATAGAACGTTGCAGGAGTGGAAGCGGAAGCTGTCTAGCTTGATAGGAGAGTAGATACCGTGGTTCGAGACGAAGTAATGAATTATTTGTGAAAGGCTCAGCCAAACATCAAGCCGGTTTCTTCCTCTACCTCTCACACAACGCTCCACGTTTCTCAGGTGCACGAAGAGTCCGCTGCTGGACATCGGAAGAGTCCTCGTCATGCCAGGGTGGTTGCTGACCAATTTGAAAGAGGGGTAGCTCCACTTGCTTGTCGACTTCGCCCTACGTACCCAGGAAGGGCGCATGTGCCTGACCCAGATTGCTGACCAATTTGACCATGCAATGATAATTGGCACGCAGTTGCCGACGAGAGCGGGTTGGTCGCACTTTTCCCGAGGAATACTGCCGGCAAATTACAAGGAGAAAGACGAATGATGTGCAAAGAACGAGTATCCGACGTCGGCAAGCTTAGATATGTCGCCGAGAGTCCGACTCTGTCTTTGGGCCATCCCAGGGGCCACGCAGTAGCCCTGCTTCTATATTGCCTCATCACTTCCGGTTGATCTATGCATCTTAAACACACGCTTTAGCAGGGACTTATTGATGTCTTCGTTGGGAACATAGTTGGCCTTTTACCTAAGACAAGATAAGTGTGCAACTTAAGGCTCCCTATCTCCTTCATCACCGTTAGTTCATGGCACTGATCAACTTTCGGCAGACATCAAGCAAAGTCCAACACCGAGAAGTAGCAGTACGAAAGCCAAAATTCCCGAGACGTTCCTGACCTTCCTTATGATCAAATCGATGGGGGAGAAAAACGAACCAACGATATCGGACAAGCTGGGAGGCAAAGATCTCAGTACATCACGGGCCCCGTCTGACCTGATGAATGAGGAGCCCGCCCAACAACGCGGCACTTCCGCAGAAATTGTGCTACCAATGGACTCTAGACAGCCCAGCCTACCGAACCGAGTGTTGAGTCACATCACAACTTCTTCAAACACTACGCCAGGGCCGCCTCCTGACGGGGGTCGCTGGGCGTGGCTTTGCGGTGGGAATTTCCGACAGCTGCGTAAACAACAAGCACTGACCTAAGATGTAGTACTTGGGACGCACTTGGTGGTGATGAACACCTGGTAAATTGATCCATCTTGTAGCCCAAGGAAGCTAACAATTGTAGGGGAGTTATCAACTCCTTTGGCGTCTTTCAAAGCCACTATGCTCAGACCCTGCGACGACCTCCTTCTGATATTTCTTGGATTGGATCAATCCAGATTTTCCTCCTTTTCTTCATCGGTACCTTCACGGGACGTCTCACTGACGCCGGACTCTTTCGCCCAGTTGCCCTCGTAGGCTCTATCTTGGTTGTTCTTGGCAGCATAGCCACATCATTCTCGACCCAATATTGGCAAATATTCTTATCTCAGGGAGTATGCGTTGGGCTCGGGAATGGCTGTCTCTTCTGCCCGACCATCGCTCTCGTCTCAACCTACTTCCAGAAACGACGATCCTTGGCCATCGGGTTCACGGCATGTGGTAGCACGACAGGAGGTGTTCTCTTTCCCGCTATCGTGCGCCAGCTGCTCCCACTTGTAGGGTTTGGCTGGATGATGAGAGCAATTGGACTTGTACAGCTCGTATCTCTGGCTATCGCGTTGCTGTCCTTGAAACCCCGTCTTCCGCCTCGCACAACGAGGCAATTAGTCGAGTGGGAAGCGTTCAAAGAATTGGAGTACACGTTCTATGGTATAGGAATGTACCTGGTATGTGGCCTTTCTGCGGAACTCCCCGAAACTTTGCTAATGACGAGTCTCAGTGCTTTTGGGGCTCTTATTTTGCCTTCTTCTTCACTGCCGCCTACGCCAGAGATATCCTGGGTATGTCTTACACATCGTCGCTGGATGTCCTGATGATTATGAGCGGCGTTGGGATCGTCGGCCGGATTTTACCAAGCTATCTGGCAGACCGCGTCGGAGCCCTGACAGTGCTCGTACCGACAGCCGGCGCTGGTGCTCTCACCATGTTCACTTGGCTTGCAGTGGACAGAAAGAGTGCCTTCTACGCATGGGCTGCGATAAGCGGGATCATCTTGGGAGGTATCCAGGCGGTGTTTCCTTCCGCACTAGCCTCTTTGACAGCCGATCCTAGCAAGCAGGGCACAAGAATTGGCATGATCTTCACAATAGTCAGTTTCTCAGTCTTGTCAGGGCCTCCAATCGGGGGCGCGCTTGTGTCTGCATTAGGTGGGCGGTACCTGGGAGGACAGGTATTTTCTGGGTGCTGTCTGACTCTAGGCACGGTCTTCCTGTTTGCGGCAAGGGAAGCTAAGCGAAGGAGCAAGGGCGGGCAGTTTTGGATGAAGGTGTGAGAAGTTATAGACTATATCTAAGTATACAGCAAGGCTCTCGCCATTCAATTGCGTACATGTCCTCGTGAGCCGTATCGTGGTTATCGGAAGGCGAACGCTCTACAAACTACAACGTTTTGCTTCGTTTCTTTCATGTGCCTTGCAGATGTAGAAGTTGCTTCTGATGATACAATCTTGAAGAGTTTTGCTAGTCGGGCAGTGTTCGTTGGCTATCCGGGCAGTGTCTATACACGTATATAATCCGTAGCCTGTTTCTAAAGCGACTATTATATTTCGTATTCTCGCTTTCGTCGTCGTTATTATCTATTATTGTCGTCGTCGTTTTCGTCGTTATCCTTGTTATTATTTCTATCGTTCTCTCTATAATTACGGATTATAGGGGACACTTCCCGGATAGCAAAACTCATCTTGAATAATACTCACGTGCTCCATCTAATAGCAGCACTTTATGGCATCACTTTATCCAGCGCTTTCGGCGGCAGACAGAATTCTTCATGGCGAGGATCGCCTTCTGGACGAGCTGGCTTGCTGACAAATTTGGCAAGCTGATCTCATGTACATGCGTGCATCCACCCCGCTCGAGCGGACTACTCCGTCAACTTCTCCGCTGGATCAGTCCGTTCTCAACTTACAAATCCGGTAATGCATCAGAAAGATTACTGATCCCGAGGCTCGATATTGTTTTCGGGTGTGAGACTAGAAGTAATACTCACCGGCATCCAAAGCACTCGCTCAGCCTGTCTGGTGACGAACAGCGCAACAAGAGAACATTATTGGCATTTGATACGCGATGAAGAGGGCTGAATGTCCGATAATCGGTGAGCCGCTTGATTTTCCCTGGCATATTTTTGGTTAAATTTCAGTGAGCTTTTTCTCTGGATCAAGGTCTCTCTCGACCGGCTTGAGTTCCTTGTACATTGGGGCATTGCTCGACTCTGTTTGCTGACCAATTTGGAGTTGGAGGGCGGGGAGATTGCCGCCAACGCAGAGGATGCTGACAAATTTGGTCACACCACTATGCAGCACAGTCACACCGTAGGGCGTCTACGACACATGCTTCACCTTAGGATTTATGCGAGACACAATTGTAATTTGATTCAAAAGCTACACAGGGGGGAAATACGGCGCATCTAAACAGTACGTGCTTATTGCAGGCCAATGTTGCTCTTGTTTCATCAGCTGGCACAACGGCAAAGTACCTACCCTATCCACTGCTCGAATGTAGGCGGCCTAAATCACGCTTTGGACTGCTTGTTTCTGGACCCATTCTTCCGTCTTAAGGACCTCCTGGGCGAAGAGAGGCCAGATCAGCTCCGTCGCGGCATCGGTCAATTCCTTGGACCATCCGGCCGTGGCATCTTTCCTGCGGAAACATTAGTCTTTCCGTGCTCCGCTCATGCATGATTCGACATTCAAGAATACTTACAATAGAGTGACGTGATACCCCCTTGGCTTATTAGCTTAATTAAGTCCGACGGAGGGCAGAGCGGGACTCACAGTTCAAAGGCATGACGCGCGGAGGCCTCCAGACAGGTGTTTGCCGTCAGTCCCGCGAAAACCAGATGGGTGATCTCGCGTTGGCGGAGCTGAAAGTCCAGATCAGTGTTCGCGAAAGAGCTTCATGAGGTTTCTCGTTAGACGCTTGATTCATGTGCGATGCATAGGAAGACCTTACTCGCTGTTCCAATGCCGACTGACAACGACGTCGCCCTTGGACGGATCCGGCTCAAGGCCCTGAAGGATCTCGGCGCCCCATGATCCTTCCTTGAAAACTTGCGAGTTCTTCTGTTTAACATTATTTGGTGTCATGTGTTTCCATCCAAGAAAGGTGTGCTCGTTGCACTGTTGATGCATGCCGTAGTAGATCGGAATGCCCTTGGAGCGAGCAGCGGCGACGGTGGACCTAATGTTCTCAACCGTGCCCTTCTCTTGGAGGTCTAGGAGATGGGGCGTGAGAGCGCCTTCGGGGTGAAGAAAGTCATTGTAGGGGTCAACGAGAACGAGAGCAGTGCGGGTGGCAGACATCTTGTTTTCTTCTCAGTGAGTGCAAAAGGCAGTTGTAAATTGTTGCGTGAAAAGCTGTTGCTTTCTATGTTGTGTTACAGAGAGTTCAGGCTCTAATCCTCCTCGGGCTTTTATACTTGGACATCGTTCTTGGCTCCGTTCCTTTACCAATTTGTCATCCAGATACCCACGTCTTTAGCCGTCAACCCTGGTCCTGCAATGGAGTGATTAGTAGATGTTGGTGACTTCCTCGGCAGACGCTCACTGATTTGACCAAATTTGTCATCAAGCCTCTCGACTGAGCCAAATGTGACACCCGCTATCGATAAACGCCTTATGTAAACTTCGATCCATTCATGCATATTCGTTTTGAACACTGACACTTGCCGACAACTTTACTTTTCTTGCTGCGTGCTCGATAAGCTTTTGCAAGTGACGAGCACGTCGTGTCTGAAAAAGTAGAATCGGTGCGGTTGAATTCCAGCGATGATTCCTCCACAGACGATGGGAACTTTCAATTGATCAGGAACGACGGAAGTCGGGGCCAAAACAGCCCCGTCTTAGCCTCCTCCCCAACGCGCCTTTCCATCAGGACAATCAAGCCACTTGAGGCCAAAAAGGGTGGGGCATACGTCTATGATTCGACTCACATGATGGTACCTAGGCCAGACAAAATGCTACATCTAGTTGTAGTGTGAATAGATTGAGTCCCATAAGAGCTTGCTCCATGTGCCAGAGAATTATTGACCTTGGGATGCATCACAAAAAGGCTGTGCTACTGCCGTGGCTTCACGTGGGAATGTGAGCATGACTGTGTACAAGGCGGAACAAAGCTGATGTTAAGTCCTCAGCAGCATTCCTATGTAAGGTACCTATCAATCAGAAAAGACTTCCTCAGAACCGACGTGCTAAGCCAGGTTCATGGCAGGAGGTTTGAGGCCTATTGCAAGTACCTTAGCTTGAGAACCCGCGCACTGAAATCATCAATCTGAGGAACCAATTGAAGATGAAACCAATTCTCTGTCTGAGTAGGTATCGTAGAGTTATTAACTTGCTGCACAGATGAGCCCATGAGACAACTGAATCTCGCGGACGATGAAAACCGCAACTGCGATCCTATCACGTGATGAAGCCCCTGATATTTTGGCGATGCCGATTTTTTTGAGACCCACATCTGCCACGCGTCTAGGCTTCACCTGATTACTATTTTCTGTACGTGATACTTCGGCATTCAGGTATGTTCCCATGTTCCTTCATTACTGTGGCAATGGGTTCGATCTCAGCATCATGCTCATGAGACCTAGCACTTCTAAAATCAATCAACACGGCCGGCCTTCCATAAGTCAAAGCACCCACTTTTCGACCACCCCAAAAATACCGCCCAGCCACCCCATTAACTACTATACCCAATTTTCAAACTATCACAACATCTTTAATCCTTCATCAATTGACATCATTTTTTCAGAATACCCCTTTTATTATATAATGAAACAATACACTGAAGATGAGGTCATTCAGGCCCTTAACGACATCACAAATGGCGTATCTAGTCGCACTGCCTCTAGGCGATGGGGTGTGCCACGATCAACGCTTATAAGCCGAATAAAAGGCCACCAACCAAGGCAAGAAGCATTTCAAGACCTCCAGAGGCTCTCTGCTAGCCAAGAAGCCAGCCTAGCTACTTGGGTGATTGCCCAGGCCGACCTTGGGCTGCCACCAACGCATCAACAACTAAAGGACTTCGCCCATCGCATCCTCCAATCCATGGGGGACGCCCAACCTCTAGGCAAGAGGTGGGTAGACGGCTTTATGCGAAGAAACCCATCCATCAAGGTCCAGAGAAGTCGATCTATAGACTCAAGGCGTGTTAATGGTGCATCTACTGAGGTTATCAGGGACTGGTTCAAATATCTCGCGATGCCTCGCATCACAGCCATCAAACCAGCCAACCGATATAACATGGATGAGACTGGCATCCTTGAGGGCAAGGGGGATAATGGGCTAGTGCTGGGAAGGGCTGCCACGAAGTCGGTCAGGAAAAGCAGCCTGGATCACGAGCCTGGGTATCTATCATCGAGTGTGTCTCTGCTGTTGGCAAGGCACTGCATCCCCTGGTTATCTATAAGGGAAAAACAGTCCAGCAGCAGTGGTTTCCTCTTGATCTTAGCCTATTAGATGGATGGGAGTTTACAGCAACAGAAAATGGATGGACGACTGATGCTACTGCTATTGAATGGTTGCAGAGAGTCTTTATCCCCCAGACCAAGCCCTCTAGCCCTGACCAGGCTAGACTCCTCATCCTAGATGGCCATGGGAGCCATACAACAACAGATTTTATGTGGTTATGCTATACCAATAACATCTATCTGTTATTCTTACCGCCACACACCTCACATGTCCTCCAGCCACTTGACCAGTCAGTCTTTAGCCCTGTTAAGGCAGCATATAGGAAAGAGCTTGGATATCTTAGTCAGTGGATCGACTCTACTGCTATAGGTAAAAGGAACTTTATTTCCTGCTATCGAAAGGCTCGCCTAGCTGGGCTGACTGCAGGAAATATCAAGAGTGGCTGGAAATACACTGGGTTATGGCCTGTTGCTATTGCAAAGCCGCTTATGAATGGGCTGCTGGTTCAGAAGGCAACATCATCAACAACAACAACATCAACACCATCAACACCACTCAACAAGGTTGCCAGAGATAACCCTATGGCCCAGAATGCCCATGGTATAGAGGGCTGGGCGTTAGCCTCATCTGCTGTAAAGTGGTCTACGCCAAGGAAGGTGAAGGACCTAGGGGACCAGCTGCATATATTCAGCCAGCTGGAACAAAGCATCGCCACACAACGTCAGCTCTTTAGGAAGGTTAAAAAAGGCTTCCAAGAGCAGTCCTTTGCCCTGGCTACCGCCCAGCAAAAGATAGAGCTTCTAGAGGCTAAGGTTGCCAACACTGCCAGCATGAAGAGGAAGGCTGTTGAGCTAGACCCAAATACGAAGTTTGCAACGATCAAAGAGGTGCGGCAAGCTCAGATTGAGGCTGGCGAGGCTGAAAGTGATTCAGATGAATCCAGCGCATCTGAATTACCTAGCGAGGCCGAAAGTTGCATTATCGTGGCTTCCAGAGGTAGCTGATAATTGATTCAATAAAGCGGTGGTGATTGTGATGGCATCAATTCATTGTGGTCGAAATGCAGGGGTGGTCGAAAAGTGGGTGCTTTGACTTACAACTTCTGAAATGTCCTCTTGGGCACCTCCATGGTTCGATACCCAATGGTCGACAGTGGATGGAAATCGGCATGTTGATTTTTCGGGCACTGAACCCTCTGAATCCAAGTTAGGTGAACAGAGATGGAATCGGGACAAAATTGTTGCTCGTGAAAATGAGCTTCGTATCGTCGACATAAGCACCTTCGACAATGCCAATCTTGCCACGCTGTATGAGCATTTGATAGATGTGGACAAAACACTGCTTCACATCAAGAATGACTGGCCGATTGGAAGATGCATTGAAAATGATCAGCCCATCGTCGCTAGCCACATGTCTAGCGAGCAAGTCGCCTCTGATGGGTCCCGGGAGTTGATCGCGAAAAGATTAATCGAACGCCACGACCACATTCGTACCATCATCAACAAACGACCACTTGGCCGGAAGCTGAGCTTGAATGATCTCCCAACCGAGATCATCAACAGAATCATAGATCACTGCGAAGACAATTCCAACTTGGTGGATAACCCGGAATACGTTACCGCCGATTACGAAGTGGCCCAGAATGAACTCAACACCATCAAGTCACTTCGCCTGACGTGTCACAAGCTAAATGAGTTAGCCTCGCCGCGTCTAATGCCATCCATCACCGTCAGACCCACGGAAGCGTCTCTTACGCGTCTAGTAAACATATCAAGACACGGAGCCTTTGGCAACAACGTCAAACGTGTCCGCCTTGTTATGGGGCACTACTGTCACTTCAGTGCCGCAGATCCCGCGTCGTTCTCCAGGTACGCTCTCACAACCATTTACTGGGCAATTGAGGCCAGAAACACAGGGGGACTCGATTTCCCACCGGTCGTGGACGATTTGTCAACACGACAAAAAGAAACTCTGTTTCGTCTCCAAAGAAGACTTGACGAAGTCAGTCAGGGCTTCGATTCGTTGGCAGAGGGAGAGCTTCTCTGGGAAGCGTACAGCCTGTATAAACAGAAACATCGAGAATACTCCAACCTCATGAAAGGGGGGCACTATGTCCGACAAGTCGCTGAAGCAATAGCGCGATTGCCAAAGGTACATCGCTTAGATGTGTACGATTACGTGCACGAATCTACCGACTGGAGACGCAGATACGCCGACACGGGCAGAGCAATGAGCCACGAGTCCCTCATTGAGCTTCTCGCGGCTCCTATGGAATGGAACCGCCTGGCGGGAACCAGGTCAGGAGCTAACTTGTCTGTTGAAGCTCTTGGAAAGCTTCTGCCGGCACTGGGGAAGCTAGGTGTTCGGCTGAAGGTGTTTGAGATGGATGTCACGGCTCCGAAAAGTTTCAAAATGCTTTTCATGGGGACTGGAGAGTATAGACTTCAGACGAGTGAGCTTCTCAAGGACGCATGGTTTCTGCGCCTATGCATCAAACCACGGCCAATGTTCCCGGTAATGGACGAGAACGATAGCCATCGTTTCTGGGGCCGCCGCTTGAATATTGAGTTTGGCGCATTGCATGGATTCGTCGACACCTTGCTCAAGTCACCGAAAAACTTGAGATTGTTGCAACTCAACTTCGACAGTCTAGTACACGACATAGACACGAGAAGGTGGGTACTGCAACCTGCGATAACAAGCCGGAAGGCATCTCATCCGTGTCGAATGGATTTGCTTCACATGTCGTTGGACTCAGAGAAGATGGATGCGTTTCTCGGCGACGGACCTCTCTTCTTGACATTGGGTGCTCCTGTTATGATACGTGGAACATGGAAGGAAGCGTTGAGAATCATGCGGCAGAACTTCAAACATGACGACTTGAACTTGGAGAT